GCTTCCCAATACTCTTTGGGCCCCCAGGGTGTGTTATTTATCTGCCTTGAATTGAAAAAGAAACAAGCGTTTTTTACTACAAGGGTTTTCTAAGGTAGAATGTATCTCGAAAATGCCTACAACTAAAAAAAAACAGATCCAAAAGTATTGAATAGCTGAGATTGCCATCAATAACGCAATCGCGTCCTATCGCCAAAGAAGCTATAAATCATAAATTATTTGATTGGAATGCAAAATGGGTGAATTTTTGAGTTGAAAAAATTTAAACAATAGTTTAATCGCTTTGGATTAAAAAGTGGCGCTTAATTTCGGCTAGCGAGTAAGTGTTGTAATAGATAATGCTCTCAATTAAGCCGTGAAATTTTAGTTGTTCTCCAGCCAAATTAATTTTTGAAGCTCCAGTTAGCGATTTCTTGGTAGTGAAAAGTTTCAAAAATTTGAATAAGTTCTACAAAGAAAAACGTAAGAAATTTTGTTGCAAATTTTTTCGATTTTGTTTTGTTTCGTTTTTCATTTTTTGAAGGCAACTATAGTAATATATATATTTTTTCTAATAATGTTTTTAGCTCTCAATGTCGCTTTAGTCGCACTCTAGGCCAAAAATATGGCACAAAAGGCGTCAGGGCGCGTACAAAATACAGCAAAAATACGTCACTCGATCAAGTTCTCGTTTTTCTTCTCATTTCACTACGCAAAAAATACGGAAAAATACTTATCTGAAAGTGAGATTGCTCGAATATCAGAACAAAATCTTGAATGTTCCGGCTGCACTTAAAGGCCAACTTAAAAAATTTTTGGTTGAAATTTTAAAGAAAAGATCAAAAAAAAGAAAATTACCCACCCACACGCTTAAACTTTTTTCATTTATTCTCTCGCTAATTTAAGCTACAAATGAATGTATTTAGCTTCTTGTATTCGAATAATACGACCCATTTTTGCCTCAATTTAATTTGGAACGCATTGTATCGAACGTTAATTATCCCCAAGTGGCCAAACTAGCAATTTTTAAATCAAATTAATTTTACCAAAAATGATAACAGGGGAAGTATAAGTTTTAAAATTTGAGCTCAAAACAACAATATTTATCAGATGATTTTAAAAAAAAAACAGAAAATACTTGGCTAAAATTTGAAAAAATGACTGAATAATAAAAAACTACCCTATGCATTTATAATTCACATTTTCTAAGAAAGTCGGAACAAAATCTATGAAATTGTTAATTTTTTTTTTCAAAATTCAGAACCCATACTGTGCCTAAAGATGAATTACTCCAGCTGTTTTACAAAGTGTTTGTGTAAAAGTATAGCATTTGATTGATAGCTAAAAAAGTCACGTTTACTTGAAAAAACTCAAAATCTTGATTGGCTTCAGAAAAAATCTTAAACGTTTTGCGCAAGTTTTGAAAGCATCACCCAAGTAAAACTTTGTTGGGCTGTGTAAGAGACTTCTTTTGTACTGAAATTAGCAAAAAAAACTTAATCAATAACGCAAAAATATCTCAGACAGGATTCAAGTGATGTTTTTTACTGAAACTATTTCAATTACTATTTTCAAAACCTTTTCAATGTGCCAGGAAAACCAAATACGAGAAGCTGCGGCTGCTTTTTGTTAATATTCATTCAAAAACCTTTAGTAATTGTTCCGATTAAATATCCCTTTGCTAATTTTTTTTCTAATATCATTCAATATTATTCAAAAGGTAAGGTTGTCCTGAACTTATATCACAACTTATAACACGTTTGATTTTTTTCGTAAGATTTCGAGACAATTTGAGAAAATTAACGCTCGATAAACTCCGCGCTATTAACGATGTATTCCCCGATATATTAAAGTAAGATTTAAGACAATTAACGCGCGATGTATTCCGCGCTATTAACGCGTCAGTGGAGATTTATTCCGTCTTCGAAATCGTTCAAAATTGGTTGAAGGATGCTAAATTGCCATAATTGATTTGTTACTAGAATCAAATTATTTCACTTTGAACTTAATATGGTGTGGGGGTGATGATTTTCACTAAAAATCTCATTTTAAAAAAATAGCTTTATTTAATTACTACTTCATAGAACAGTTCGAAAATTCAGGGCTTTGCCCTGATACGGGCAGCCTTGTTTGTATTAAAAATTGCCAGTGACTACAAAATTGAAATCAGAATTGGTTGATCTATGTTTTCGCTTTTCTTATAATTATTTTTTTGACTAACTTTAGACTATTTTTCTACCTATGTTTTGATTATCGTTGTTCTATGGGTCAAATTTTTCGACTACCAAACTGAAGCATCTATGATTTTTAGGAAAAAACGAATGTTATCATTTCTCTCAAGTTGAGTTGTTGTGCTGAAATCTGAATTGAAAAAAGTTTCAAATATATATGCTAATTAATATGGTATCTAGAAGATTTTTTTACTTAGCAAATTCATATCTGAAATTTATAACAGAAGAAACTTCACTTTAACTCAAGTTTTTTTTTACCGCAGGTAGCCTAAGGTCACATAATTTTTAGATAAGCACTTCTCCGTACGGCAATAAATATTTTGTTGCAATACGGATGTTTTTTGAGCTGAATTTTTTGATCGATTTAAGTTATTCAAAAAATTTCGACGGGTAAAACAACATCAGGGGTGATTGATTGGTTTCCATTGTGCTCGTCCTATATTTAGTTTGTGCCAAGCATATATTTCAATTTTAGTGGCCAAAATAGCTTTTAGATAGATTTCGACGTATGTTTCAATTTTCCTGGCCAGGATTGCCCACGTTTTGACTTTATGCTTGACACAAACTTGCGTCTCAACTGCTTTTCTTGCAAAAAACTGAGCTCTTTTGAATTTGAAAGAGAGAAACAAAGGTTAGGAACATCGACCCGGGTGCATAAAACGCATAATACCCAGTAACTCAGGCTTGCTTCAGCTGGAAAATATGTTTTCGAGAGACAGAGTAATTTACCTCCAGTATGTTTATGTTTTAAAATGAAGCTTTCAATGCTCAGTGAAAGTTGACGCTCTAGCCATCCTGGACGACGTTCTCGACTCATATTTTGACCACACGTACCTAGTAAATGTTATAATTTAGATCTGAAATAATCTTTTTCAGATCTAAAATTCAGATCTGAAAAGGGTTGTGAAGTGTTAAAATAAAACTTAGATACTTAAGAATGGGTTATTTTCGATCTGAAATTTTGTTTTCCTGATTACCTAAGATCTGAAAAAATCTATTTCCGATCTGAAATTTAGTTTTTCTTGGTTATTTCAGATCTGAAAAATCAAGGTTTCTGATACAACTTTTGCTATTTTTGAAATTTTGTATTTGATAGCTTCTGCTAGTTACTAGCAGGCACTCAGCAAAATCTCAAGTTGGAGACTGCCAAAATATGTTTTCCCAAGCATGAGGTAAACATTGGAAACGCATGAGTAGAGCATGAACATCAAAAATTTGACCGATCTTTAACACAGTCTTAACACAGTTTTTTTACCGCTAGTTTGTTTTTATTTCAATCTAAACATAATTGTGTATTGCAGAAATATCAAAAAACAAAAATTAAGTTTTTGCTTGAAATGCATAAATTATAATTCAACAAAGGATTTCTCAGATCTGATATCAGCTCTGAAATTTTGTTTTTCAAGGATATTTAAGATTTTAAATTTTCTAAATCAGATCTGAAAATACAAACTTTTATCAAAATCGGAAATAAAGAATTTCAGATCTGACAACCAACATGTGTAAAAAATAAAGAGTTTCAGATAATGCAAATTCTCTGGGTACGGGCAGAACGGTCGAATGATGTCCGGTTTTTTACCCAAAATAGGATGTTCGAAAGAAAGCTTTGGTCGAACAAAGTCGAATCTCGGGTCAAGCAGGGTTTAACCATGAGTAAAACAGGGTTGATGTAGTCAAACAAGGTCGAACTATGGCTCCAACAATCTTGTACCCAGTAAGTTTTCTAAAACAGATCTGAAATAATCTTTTCAGATCTAAATTTCAGATCTGAAATAGGTTGTGAAATGTTTAAATAACCTTTGGATACTTTAAGGATTGGTTATTTCAGATCTAATTTCAGGTCTGGAATTTGCTTTTTCTTGGTTATTTCAGACCTGAAACAATCTATTTCAGATCTAATTTCAGATCTGAATTTAAGTTTTTCTTGGTTATTTCAGATCTGAACAATCAATGATTCGGACTCATTTTTTGCTATTTTTGATTTTTTAAGCTTCTGCTAGCTACTAGCAGATACTCAGCAAAGTCTCAGTTGGAGACTGCCGAAGTATGATTCACCAAGCATCAGATAAACATTGGAAACGCATAAATAGCGCATGAAAATCAAAAATGTTACAGGTCCTCTAACAGTTTTTGAAAACTTTTAAAACAGTTGATCAAGAAATTTAGTTCAAAAAAAAAATAAAAACTCCATGTTTTGCTCGAAATTCATAAATTATATTTTAACAAAGGTTTTCTCAGATCTGATTTCAGATCTGAAATTTTGTTTTTTTTCAAGGTTATTTCACATCTGAAATTTTCAGTTTCAGATCCAAATTTCAGATCTGAAATTTGTAAATTCTTATCAAGATATGAAATAAAGAATTTCAGATCTGAGAATCGACTTATGTAAGAAATAAAGATTTTCAGATCTTGCGCAGAAAATCCCCTGGGTACGGGATGTCAATTACATGCGTTAGCGTTAGTTTGAGTTGCGAGCGTTTAAATTTTGCTTTAAAACTCATTTTGCAGTAATTTAAAACAAAAGCAAAAAATTCAAAAAATTACGACTTGCTTCGGATTTCTTAATTATCCCTTATATAGTTCCGTATTACCTCTAGTAAGAAATTTTAACCTCTTTAAAGGAATAACTCAACGGTTAGGCATACAGTTTTTGACCAACTGCTGAAAAGATTATACCAACTGTACCAAATCTGTTTTTTTTTCTGTTTATAAAGGATCCTTTTATTAAGTTATCTGTGAGGTTGAAACTTCTAAAAAAAATTGTAGATTTGATCAAAGATCTTAACTAACCGTTTTGCTGTCAAGAAGCAATACAAATGTGTATAAACAATCCACTAATATCTCAAGAATTCTCAGTTAAAAAGTGAAAATAAAGTGCGGACAATTAGCGACAAAATATCAGAAGGTGGTGTCTAAATCAAACTTAAAATGTCGGGTTCAGTTTGGGGCTCTTTTATTCGAATAATTGTAGCTAGACTTCCTTTTTCTAAAGTGATGGTTTGGAAGCAAATTAAGTGAAATAACTTTGTGGGGAAATTAGATGTTCAGTTAGAGATTGCGTCTTTTGTAGAACGACGTTAGAATAAAAACGATAAATGCTGCAACAAGGCGTACTGTTTCTAATTCATATTCTTTCTTTTGCAATTTTGACATTTTTTCACCATTTTTATCAAGTCGCGTCTGAAATAAATGAAGCGAAAAAAGAATCGAGTTTTTTTTAAACGCCATTCATTGAATTCAATTACTCAATCTATTACTTTCATTTTCTTAACACTTAGTTAAGATGGCATATTAGGATGATAGGAAACTGAGGAGCTTGCTACATTTAAATGGTAACATATATAAAAAGTAAAAGTATATTGTACCATCGAAGCGAGGGAGTGAGCCAAATGGAACAGAGCTAGTACGAGCTGGAGAAAAATTGACGCTAAAAGACTGCTGCTGCAAACTGAACGACCCTAAGGGCAAAAAGCAGGGTAAAAAACAATTCATAGTCCTACTGCTTTTTTATTCAGCTACAACCCGTGCCTTTTAAATGGTAACCCTTAATCCGAAAGAAAATAATTTGGGCTCAAAATTCCTCCAATACCAACGCCGTCTAATGAGCTCAGAAAAAACGCACGAGCCGATAAGCTTCATAGCAGACAAATACACAAAATGAAACCTCGATGAATTATGATTTGATCAAAAAACTCATCTTTTGATGATATTGTCTCATCTGAATGTTCTTGTTTTCTGCAACAAAAAACAACTAAAATTGTCACAACTCGATATTTTTTATTCATACTTGGGCTAATTGTATCGATTGTTTTATTTTTTTTTCATTGACGATTCGATTATCATTTGTTTATTTTTCTAAAATAAGAAACGAAAAGAAACGGAGAAAAAATTAGAGAAGGTACTGCGCTGTGTAATTACGATGTTTGTTTACTGAAGTTGCTTAACTAGCTAAGATCCACTTTTTATCTTAGAAATGATACGTCGTTGAGATTGTAAATTTCATTGAATTGTGGTCAACTCTGTAGCAAAATGGGAACTTGAAAAGTTTGTAGTTAGAAAGCTAACAAAGAGAAAAAAAGATCAGGCATTTCAAATACCCCTTGGAGCCCAATTGAATTAGATCGACTAAGACTACCTCACTCTAAAATGCAACTCAAAAAAAAAATCGCAGTAATTGAAGTGGTCAACAAGCAAAGACTGTTCTGTCTAATTTAGGAAAGCAAAAAAGCGAAAAAAAAACGATTTCTGTTTATTTTTTTCAGATTATTTTGCCTTTTTTCTGGCTCACCACTACTACACTATTTGGATTTTTGTAATGAAAAAGAATGAGAAATAATGAAACACAGGACACACACACACGACACACACAAAAGAAAACAGTTTTTATTCTTCAGTTTGATCGGACCTTCAAAGAAATTGAGGAATTTTTATAATCACGGAGGTTTTTTCTTACTTCAGACAATTATTTATCAGAATTTTTCTCTCGTTGGATGAATCCCTGGATCGTTGTAGACCCTCTGAATTTTCACACCACGATATTAACCTGACAAAAATTCAGCTAAACTGCCCTTTTATAGTTTGATGCTGAAAAAATAACTCGATTTACTTTCGCCTGGCCAGTTTAGCCGTGCTACGAATAGTTCCAAATTAAATTGAGGCAAGCTAATTAATCTTAAGATTTCGATACCGTCTCCAAATTTAACACATAAAACTCAAGGTTATCAGCCTATTATTTTTAGTTTGATATTATTTCATAAGGCAAAAACTGTTTGATTCAATTATTGGCCATTCTGAACAATCGGGCTTCTGCCTTTATACGAGCACAATTGTTTTTATTTAGGTTTTTTTTATAATTTGCCTTTAAGCTATGTGCCAAAGCTGAGACTATTTAACATCTGCCTATTTACACGCCGCAAATAAACAATATAAGTGCTTAGCATCGTCATTATTAATGTTTTTGTTTATTTTAAAGTTTTGGTTTTCATTTGAAAATTTATGAAAAAACAGGACTTGATAAAACTATTAAAAAATTATGGAACTAATAAAAAACTAGCTCCCCAATTTTTCAATCTAATCCAATAAAAATTATTCATCAAAATAATATCAAATAGCTTAAAATTGTAACTTGTATTAATGTTTTATAAATCTACCAAAAAGTCTTTCTGCTAAAAAAAATCCAAGCTGTTTTTCTATTCATTTATCAATTTATCTCTTGAATTGCAATTAAAGCTGAACCTTTTGTTCTTCGAACAAATAACTATTGGTAGATTTGTCGCTTAAACAGTTTTGGAGAACTTTCGCAAACTTGGAGACAACCAATTTTTTTTAGCAAATTGAAACTTGCAGCTTAATTTTGAGATAGTCGAGCTGTAATTTTGTTTCTTAAGGAACCATTATTTTATTTTTTACTGAAGTTGATATATGATTCACGAAAAATTTTATTTTTTTAATGAAGTTGATTTATGATTCACGATAAATTGCACTCAGAAATTTTACTCAACGCTTTAGAACTTTGAACTCACAAAGGAGCAAAATTTTTCAATTCGTTTTCGCCGTCCTACAAAATTATCATCTTAGATAATTTAACGTTCCTAAAATTTTACTTTTTGAGTTTAGTTGCAAAAACATAAATCGAAAGTGAAAAAAAAGTGTATGAAATTGAAGTTTTTGTTCTGATTGTTTCGTTTGAACCATTTTTATGTGAAAGCAGAATTTTTTCCAGGAAATTAATTTATCGATCAATCATCATTTTTACATTACGATTCCAGTCTGTGCACTGGATAGGCGCACAATTTTGGGTCTGTTTGTTCCTAGATTCCGGAGACAAATCTTTAAACATGTTCCAAAATGTAAGTGGATTCCACTAAGAAAAGTTGATTAGATTCTGCGTACAAATACCTGTAAAGTAAATTTTGTGGGCATATTTGTTTTGTTGCGGATTCCGCAACAAGCAAAAATAGCTAGTTGTTTGGGACTCCCAACTGTAATAGGATGCCGCAAAAAGTAAGAGGAATCTGCAAAAAGTAAATGCAATCCGCAGAAATAAGTAGAGTCCGCAAACAAAATGCGGATTCCATTTACAATTGGCGGATTTCACTTACAGTTTGCGGATTCCACTTTCAATTTGCGGATTTAGCTTACAGTTGCGGATTCTGCAACAGCTCTATGTAACTATACACATGACTTTTTAATTGCTTGTGGATTCCAGAAACTGTTCTGGATTCCACAAATACAATTACGGATTCCGCAAATTTGCCTACTTTGAAGCAATTTTGAGCGGTATAATGTTCTAAGTAATTCTTTGTGGAATCAAAAACAACAAAGAATATCAAAGAAAAGTAGCAATGCTGCCGATTTTGGGCTGTTGCGGAAGTTTGACCTCGTAATGTAAACTTGTTTTTTTTATTTCAGTTACTGCTTTTTCCATAGGTATATATTATCTTCGTGCTTATTCGCATCACAAGCAAACAAAAAAAAATTTTGAGAGTGTTGATTTCTTTCAGAAAGATCGTTATTTAAATCAAAATTTAGGCAACTAGTGGTTCCTGCGAGATTTTTCCATGTTTTTTAATGTTTGGCAGCGCGCCATAATGTCAAACAAACAATTTTCTATGACGGGATTAGGACTATAAGACAGTCAGTGAACTCGAATGATCTCTGCATCTCAAAACAAACAATATGAAGATTGATTTGTTTTTATTTATACCGATATTAATGTTTCCGAAAACATCTATCATAAAGTCAACTGGTTACTGCGGATATCACAAAAACATTATGACAGATTTTCTGATTAACTTTGTTTGTGTTCCGTCAAATGCTTAACATAGCAATAACACTCATAATTTTTCCCCTGCGTTCATTGAGTAACAACTTTCAAACAGATGGATAGCTAAGAGGCGAATAAAGAGGTGAATAAGTTTTTCAGATCCTTTCTGTTTTGAATGACTAACAATATACATGTTGTAACATAAACAAACATCACAGTGAAACCAAATAAGATTCAGAAAAGACTTCTCGTATATCAGGGCAAAGCCCTGAATGCTCCGACTGTCCCTTAATTCATATAGAGGAAAATATAGTTTTTGGGGAAAAAGATTGAATAACTATAGTTTTTGGACAAAAACGAAGTGTAAAAATTTGAGTCGTTCGAAATTACTACGACTTATTAGCTAGCCTCAATTCAATTTGGAACGATTTTGTTGCGCGGGATAATTCGCCACTCATAAATAATTCGCGTTACGCTCTCAGCATTATGATTTAACTCTTCAAAGCGCGCATAATTTAGACCAGATCATGGCCAATTCGGCAATTTTCAAAACCCCAGAACTTTACAAAAAGTAATCGAAGTTAAAATATCTTTTTAAGTTTGAACTCAAGAAGTCGATATCTTCAACGGGGAATAACTTTTTTTGAAAAATATTATTTCGAATGTTGAAATTTGACTGAATAAAAAAACCACACCGAGCATAAATATTCCGTTTTTTCCAAGAAATGTTTCGGCTCCAGTCATCGAAATGTGTCTTTAATCAAGAAAGTCTCCGATTTGAACTGCTGCTCTTCCAGAAATTTTTAATTTTTAATCGAGAAATTCTATAAAACTGCTTAATCGAATGTTTCTTAAATTTTCTAATGCAAAATCTGAGTGGCTGTTTTTTTCTGTAAAAAAAAATCCGTAGAGATTCTTCAGGAGTTTGAAAATTAGGCTTCAATTCACTTAAAACAATTTTGCTGGTAAATCAGGGCAAAGCCCTAAGAATTACGACTGTCCCTTAATTAATATAGAATAGTTTTTGGTAAAAGAAAATATTGAAAACCTATAAATTTTGGACACTATCAAAGAGTGAAATGTTGAGTCGTATGAAATTATTACGACCAATCCGATTAACTAGCCTCAATTCAATTTGCAACGATTTTTTGTGCAGGTTGATTCGCCACGCATAAATAAATTGCGTTACGTTCTCGGAAGTATGAACAAATTCTTCAAAGCGTGTATAATTTACACCAGAACATGTCTAATTTTGCACTTTTCTTTTTTTTAATTCAAGATTTTTTTGTAAAATTCATCACCCTACATGCCGTATAATTAACATAAAGATAGATTTCACTCCTAGTAACAAATTAATTGCGCGTTAATTGTCCTAAATTGGCCAAAATGGCAATATTGAAACCACCATAACTTAAAAAAATTAATCACAGGTAAAATTTTTTAGGACAACAATAATTTTTGAATGATAAAAAAGTTTTTGTCAAAAAATGCTAGTAAAAAAGTCGAAATTTGTCTGAAAATAAAGCCACCCCGAGCACAAATATTCCGTTACTTTCTTTACGAATTTCGGAACAAAAATTGTATTCCATTCTCAATGAATCAAATTTAAACCGCCCTCAAAATTCTCAAAACATTTTTACGAAGTACATATTCAAATCATGATCAGAATCGAACAGATATTTTGTGAGATGTCTTATATAAAATATCTAGTTCGAAATATTTATTTGGTTCAAATTTTGATAATTCCAGGTTTAGAAAAAAATAAAGTGAGATTTTGACTGACTGAATATTGGTAAATTGACCTCGACTTATTATAATTAAAAAGAGAGGTTCAATTTCACTGAATTCCCCATAGTTTTCAATCAAATTTATTCTTAACTTACTTCAATTTCACGTTTTTCTCATTGCCGTAATGTTTGGAAGGAAATTATTTGTATCGGCTCGCTCGATCGCCGTTTAAACCAATCCGTTGTTCCATGCCCGAGTCGAAGCGCGGCTTTTTTCATACTCTCAAAGTCGCGCCTACCTTATTTCCGCGATCTAAAGTTCATAGTCAGGACCAAGGGCTCAGTTCTTCTCTAAACGCCCATAACTTGACAAAAACTGATCACAGGCGAAATATCTTTTCAAGTTTAAGCTCAGGTCTACAAAAATTTTTTGAATGGTATTAAAAAAATTCCGCCAAAAATGGCTAGTTAAAAATTCGAAATTTTTCTGAAGAAAAAAACCCACCCCGAGCACAAATATTCCGTCATTTTCGTTACGAAAGTCGGAACAAAAACTAAATGAATTTATAAATCAAGTTTCTTAAACTTCAAGGACGGGTTGCTTTACAGTATAGCACAAACCGACAGTCAAGAAAAACTTAAATTTGATCGCGATAGTTCCCGATTGTTTTATCACAGATTCGCAACCTCGGCCCGAGTGACCTCGAAAAGCATTGAAAAAAGTTAAGCATATGGAATAGATCTACCGCATTGATGGATGGGTTTTCTGCAGTGTCTGCAATTTTTTGTTTTTTGGATATTTTCTGGAGTCCATAATTTGTTCTGCAAAACTTGAATTGACTTGCAGATGAAACGTAATGAAAATGTTAACTAATAAGGAATAATAAAAAATAGTTGAAGTTTTCTGCCCACATTTTGGAGTGTACAGGTATGCAATTAGTGTTCCATAGATGAAAGACAAACAAAGTTTAAAAAAACGCTGAAAAATATAACCAAAAAACGGTAAATTTCAAGTAATTTTGAAAAAAAAAATTATTTTTTTTTTCGCTTTTGGATGATTTTTTGCTCAAAAGGGTTTGCAAATTACTTCAATAGGCTTTCATATGTAAACAAGACTGCTCGTATCAAGGCTGTTCCGATTGCCTTTTAAGGTTTATGGAGCAGTAATAACATCAAAAATTTAAAAGTAATAAAATTAAAGTTTAAAATTAAAAAAAATTTCAGATAGATTGGAAAAAACTTTTCCCCACACGTCATTACAAGTAAAAAGTGATAAATTTTGCTTCTATTAACATATCAATTGTGGCATTTAAGCGTTCTTTAACCAATTTGGAACGATTTCGAAGACGGGTTAAGTCTCCGCTTACGCGTTAATAGTGCGAAATATGTCGCGCGTTAATTATCACAAACTAGCCAAAATGGCAAATTTTAAACGTTCATAACTTTACTAAAAAGGATCACAGGTGAAATATTGTTTCAAATTTAAGCTCAGATCAATATTAGCTTCTGAATAATTTTTAAAAACTTCCTTCTGGAAGGTCTAGATAAAAAGCCGAAATTTGTCTGCAGAAAAAATTCCACCCGAGCACAAAAAATCCGTTACTTTCGTTACAAATGTCGGAACAATAACAAGGGCGTCCTGGAGTTTTGTTGAGACTTTTTGTTGAGAAAATGAGTTAAGTGACTTTCAGTGGCAGAAAGACCACTTGCTCTAAACTGGCTTAGCTAGCAAAAAATTGGAAGAAAATTATAAAAGCTACACAAATTTTGCTAACGTCATCGTAAATTTCCAAAACTGACTCGAAAGTTTCTTTTTTTAATCATCAAATAAGTGAATCGACATACATTTATGATTTCTGAAAATTCCTGGAAAAAAAAACAAAACCGAAAAAGCAGCACCGTCTCTCATTTAGTCGTCGTAACGAAAACTATCTTATTGCAGCTGCTAAAATCACTAAATTCAGGTATTGAAGTGAATATTTCACAAAAACTATCAAATGCTAGTATAGAAAACGAAAATGTAATCGTTTCTAATTTACACGATGTACTTGAGTCTTTCTTGCTTTGAACTTTGATTTGATTATAAATTAGTTGGTTGCACGTGTTTGGTAATTCAGTTTTGTATTTTTTTTGAGTTTTGGTTTTCAATTTCTTTCCCGGAGTTTTCCTGATTACATGTGAAAAGTTGAAGTCATCTAAGATGGTTGTCAATTGTCAAGTTGGCATATAACACTCGGCCTCATTTTGCACTTGCAAAATAAATTAAGAAAAAAGGGGTGGGGTAGTTCCTACTTATAAAACTTAAAACGCTGGCTTAACGGTCGTTTAAGTGTCAGTTGAAGTTATCGGCTATGGTTGTCGGCGCAAGGCTGCTTTGGGGTGAGGCTCTCATTGTCGTGAATCTTCGTTTGCTGGTTGATTGCAATAATCCGGACTAACAGGTGCTAGTCTAATGGCTGGTATTGACGCAATTTTGTCTCTTATTTTGACGAAGTAAACGCGGATCTGATCATCATCGGTTGGTTCGTTTCCTGTGATCCTTCCAATTGGCCAGAGTCCTCGTGGCGTCATATCCTGAAGAATCCAGACCTTTTCTCCTATTTTGATAGGCGGCGTCTTCTTTGTCCATCGTTGTCTTGGCAGTAGTGTTGGGATAAACTCCTTCATCAAGCGTTTCCAAATATAGGTTGCGAGTTGTTGGGCGAATTTCCATTGTCGACTGAGTGTTGAGGGTTGTTGGGTTTGTAGAGGTGGCATAGTGGCATGCGCTCTCCCGAGAAGAAAATGATTTGGGGTGAGGGCTTCAACATCATCGGGCAATGATGAAACTGTAGTGATGGGTCTTGCGTTCATGAAGTGTTCAACTTCGCAATGAACGCTGTTGAATATGTCGTCTTTTAGAATCTGGCTTCCTATGATGGCATAGAACGAGTCTTTGACTGATCTTATGAGTCGCTCCCATACACCTCCGAAATGAGGAGCATAGGCAGGGTTGAAGGTCCATTCAATCTGATGGTTGACGTAGAATTGTCGTGTAACATCGGCGTCGAAGTTTCTGTTGAGTTCTTTTTCGGCTGCGGTGAAATTTGTACCATTATCAGAAACAATTTTGGCTAGTTGTCCTCTGCGAGCGAAGAATCGTCGTAAGGTATTGATGAAGGCGTCGGCTGACTGGTCCTGGCACATCGCAAGATGTACGGCTCGTGTTGTTAGGCAAGTCATTATAACGCCGTAGCGTTTGTTGTAGTTTCCTGCGGTTTTCGAAGCAAACGGTCCAAAGAGATCTAATCTTGTTTGTTGAAACGGAAAGGGTTTTTTTTCTGGAAATCTGAAGACGGGTAGGGGCGCAAGTTCCGGCTGTAGTCCAGTTGCCTGTTGTCGTCGGCAGTCGTAACAGTTTTTTATGATCTTGTCAATGTGTGCGCGAACACAGAGTATCCAATACTCGTTTTGAAGAATATTTTTCAAGTGCTGGCGTGGCACATGCTGGTTGTCTTTGTGGGTTTGTCCTATAAAGAGGTGAACTGCTGGGTGGTTTCCATAAAGGATAATCGGGTGTTTTATGCAATAGTCCAATTGAGATTTCTCGAGGCGTCCACGTGCTCGCAAGAGTCCGTCTTCGTCTAGGAATGGTGATAGGTGTCGAAGTCTGCTAGTTGTGTTGATTCGTTTATTTTGTGTCAATGCGTTGATCTCTGGTTTGAAGCAGTCGCGTTGCGTCTGCTTGAAGATAAAATTCTTTGCGGCAATCATGTTGTTGCTTGTCAGTTCGGTGGTCGGGCTTTCGTTGCGGGACTGTAGTCCTTTATCTTTAAAAATCCTGGCGGCACGCATCACGTATGCAGTTGTTCTGAGAATTCTTGTCCATTTGGAGAATCTGCTGTAATCGATGAAGCTTTGTTCTGTCTTTTCGGTGGAAGCTTGAAAAGCTAGCATTGGGGTTGTTGCTATTTCATCCATTTGTCCAGTTTGATCGTTGAGTTGCAAGGTATCCGTATTGGCGGCGATTAACTGTAGCTTAGGCCAGTTGCATTCTGGTTCACATATGAATTTTGGTCCGGTGAACCATCTTGACTTGTTACTGAATTCTGATAGGGGTATTCCACGGGTTCCGTCGTCTGCTGGGTTTAGGGGTCCTGGGCAATGATTCCATTGACTCGCTCGGGTGCTTTCTAAAATTTCTGCAACTCTGTGAGCCATAATAATTTGTTGTCGTTTATCAGATCCCTGTATCCATTGAAGAGCTGTTGTGCTCTCTGTCCACATATGCGTAGAGTTGATGTCAATCCTTTGTTCTCTGCGAATGAACTTTGCGAGGCGAGCACCAAAAACTGCGGCTTGTAGTTCCAATTTAGTTATTGTGTGTTGTTTTAGAGGAGCCACTCGAGCTTTTCCTAGAACAAAGGCGCTGCAGATTTCCCGATGTTGTCGTAGCTGTATCCAAAACAGTGTCGGGGTATTTCGACTGTCTGTAGATCGTTTCTCTCGTCGAGAAGCTCGAACAGTTCAGGTATCATTTCTCGTGTAATTTGGTCGTCCCACTTCATTCCTTTTCTCCAAATTGCTTGCTGGATTATTCGTAGTCGAATCGTAATAGGTGCTGCTATTCCAATTGGGTCAAAGATTGAGGAAGCTGCGCGAAGTAGGTTCCGCTGTGTAGGTTTCTTCTGGGCGAGTTCGTGTAGTTTGTCAGTAGTGAAGCTGAGTGTATCGTTACTTACTCTCCATCGTATTCCGAGAATTCGCTTGAAGATTTTGGGGTCCTTGATTTCGTCTATAGTGATGGATCTATGTTCCTCTGGTATTGTTTGCAGAATTTTATTATCCGTAGTGATCCACTTCGTCAGGTTGAAGCTTCCTTGTTGTAGTACGTGTCGATGGTCTTCTATGATTTTCACTGCGGTGTCGATGTCGTCGGTGGCTTCGAAGAAGTCGTCCAATGAGAAGTTCTCGTAGACAAGTTTTTTGATGTGGGGATGGCTTTCAGCATTGTCGTCTGCGCAAGTTCTTAATGCGTAAATTGCACAAGTAGGAGAACATTTGGCTCCAAAGACGAATCGAGTGTACTCAAAAAATTCGGGTTCTTCCGCTCCCCAGAGGAAACGAAGAAATTTTCTGTCTTCAGGGTTAACAGAAACCTGCATATACATCCCTTCAATGTCGGCAATGATGGGTTGCTTTCCCCACGCAAAATCGGGTAATTACTCCTAGTAGATTGCAGATCAAGTCAGGTCGAGTGAGAAGCATATCATTCAGACAAACTCCTTTAAATTTGGATTTGGCATTGGAAACACGGCGAAGTTTCCCTGGCTTGTTTGGGTTGATTACGCCATGTTCAGGTAAAATCCATACTGTCGAAGGTATTTCGTCTGGCTCTAATTTCCATATGTAGTGCTTGCTGAGATTCTGGTCAATTGTATTCTGATAGAGAGCCAACTTTTCTGAATTCTTGTTAAGTTGTATTTTCATCCGGTTGTATTGGGCAATTGCTGCTTTATAGTTGTTGGGAAGATTTGCATTTGGTTTCCACAGAAGTCCAAGTTGATAGCGGTTGTCGTATAATGATATGGTTTTCCGAAGTGTTTTCATAGCGTGTCTTTCGTCCGATGACATCGTTATTTCAGGTGATGTGGCATAGGTTTTCATTCGCCAGAATGAGGCGAGAAGATCCGAGATTTGTGTGTCGTCAGTTGATATCTGTATTGGGGTGGCTGTTGCTTGGTGGCTTGAGAAGTATCCAATGTCGTTGTTCGGTCCTGCTATTGTCCATCCTAGGGCTGTAAGGACTGCTCGAGGAACATTTTGATTTCCTTTGATGATGGTCTTCGGGCTGATGATGTCAATATTGTCCGTTCCAATCACTAGGGCTACGTCGTTGTTGCTGAAGTCCGGAAAACATATATCCTTAAGGTGGTCGTATTGGCTGCAGATGTCGTTCAATTTTTCGGGCTCGGCTGCATTCAAGTTGATGTTCTCTTTGATTAAAACATTAGTTAGTTCAAACGCTAAAGTGTTATTTCCAAATGAATGAACTGTAATATCCACTGTCTTAGCCTCTATCGTTTGCGAGTTGAAGAAACCTCCAATGAGCAGTTGTTCCTGATGGTTAGTTTCCTCCAGTTGAAGATATGCTGCTGTCGGTTGCGATATGTAGCTATTTGTACTTCCTGTATCAAGAAAAGCGTATACATTAAGGTATATGTTGCGGTATCGTAATGTTACTGGTAAAAGTAGCAGCAGTGAGCTGTTGATTCTTGATATCTTCTTTTGGCTGGCAAGATGGTTGACTTGATTCGGTCGCTGGTTTGGATTAAACTTCGCTGTTCTTTGTGTTCGTTGTTCGTCGTGTAGAGTTGTGTGATGATGCTGATTGCATTTGCTGCATGTGTGCTTTGATGGGCAGTCTTTTACTTGATGTTGGCCAAGGCAGTTGAAACAAAGTTTCTTTACAGAAACGAGTCTCTTATTCTCTTCCAAAGGTGAATTCTGATACATTCTGCAGTATGCTGGGTGGTGAGTTTGTCCGTCGAAAGGACATGGGGGTCGGGTATTCGCACTCCAATTTTGAGAAGTCTTCTGTGAAGGCTGGTTGCTTGATGGTCGAGATCCGTTGGCGTGTCGAATTCTTGGGGCTATTTGTTGTCGATCGTTCAAGTCCAGTGTCATTTGCTGCGGTTGCATAGGTGGTAAGTGATTGCATGCTATTGTAAACTGTCTGATCCAGTCGTTGAAGGCGATAAGATTAGGCTGGTCGATGTTCTGGGCGGTGATGTACTGTGTCCACTGAAGCTGCTGATGGTGTTGCAATTTGCTGACGGCAAATTGAACGTATATTGTAGAGTTTAAATCGTCTTTGAACCCAAGCGTCCGAAATGTTTCCACCAGGTTACTGATGAATGTGGAAAATTCCATATACGAATCCCTGCGATGAGTTGATGGTTGCTTGAAGCTCTGTAGTCTGTTGACGAAGTCATTGATGATGATGTCGGGTCGTCCATATTGTCGTCTTAGTTCGTGGAGGGCAGCGTTGTACATAGTGCTATTGCAGGAGTAGCCACAAATAGCTTGATTTGCTTTTCCAGTCGTTAAAGTCTGCAGATGAGTCATCTTTTCGGCGTCCGAGATGGCTTTATTGTGGAATGTTGCTTCAAAGAGTCCGAACCACATGCTCCACTTCCTAGGGTTTCCGTCGAAAGGCTCGATTTTTACTTTTGGGGCCTAGTCATAAGACTGTAGTTTGCTCGTGACTGTCCGATACTTGATGTCTGAGATACTGCTGCTGGAATGAACTGCTGTTCTGTAACTATGTTGAAGCTGAGGTTTGCGTTGGTCGTGTCGTGTTCTGTTCGTTGAAGTGGTGGTCTGTCCATTTCGAAACCTGTCTGGGGGGCTTGCTGCGGAGTATCTCGGCTATCTGAAAAGTTTTGGTCCTCTACTGTTTGCTGAACTCATGATTCGGGCTGATGGCTGCTGTTGGATAATGTTGACGTCTGGCTAGAGTCCCGATCTAGTATTGTCTGTTGTTGCACTGAATCAACTGTGTGGGGGGCTTGAACTGTGGTGGCATTAGTGTTCTGCTGTTGTGGAGTTGTCTCTGCTGTATTTTTTTGTAGCATCTGTCTAAATTCATCCATGATGTCGTCGTGTTTGTCTTGTATATCAGTGAAGCGGTTGATGAGATGCTCCGCAGTGGCGTGCTCAGTCGGGTGGTCTACAAGGTACGTAGTGGCGTCTTCCAAATTGCTGAGAATTTTCTTCATCTCGGTTTCTGAGTCAGCTATGTTGTAGTTTGTATTGATGTCATTGATGGCTTTTCGTACTCGTCTGAAGAGGCGCTCTAGTTGGGCGATGAGACGATTTTTCTGGGGAGAGTGGTTTTGTTGGACATGGCTAGTTTGTCGTAGTTGATCGTTGCAGTTGTTATAGATGTTTTATCCAGTCGTAGTTTTGACCTACTTTGTTAGTTCCTGTCCTAGGTAGCTAGACCTAAACTTTAAAAGGAACGAAGCAAAAGAACAATGGTGCGGTAAAAATATTTTCAAATAAGTATAACGAAATAAAATAAGCAATTAAAAGTTACAAATGCTTGATAGTAAATCGTTCTGATACCTAAACAGGCGGAAAGTAATATAAACCAAACGTAAAGTTAACGTCCCTATACCAAAGTTCAGCTATGGGGGTCCAAATTGTTAAACCAATTTTTTTTAATCTTAAGCAACTGCAAAACGAGTAATCCTTGGTTGGCACTAAAGACAAACTGTGCTTCCAGCCTGGTCAGGGGGTAGAGCAAGGGTGTGGTTTCTGGCAATTTAGATGAGTGCCATATAGAAAACGAAAATGTAATCGTTTCTAATTTACACGATGTACTTGAGTCTTTCTTGCTTTGAATTTTGATTTGATTATAAATTAGTTGGTTGCACGTGTTTGGTAATTCAGTTTTGTAATTTTTTGAGTTTTGGTTTTCAATTTCTTTCCCGGAGTTTTCCTGATTGCATGTGAAAAGTTGAAGTCATCTAAGATGGTTGTCAATTGTCAAATTGGCATATAACAGCTAGTTTTCTCACAGCGAAAGAAGATAAATCATTTAAGATGTTTCACTGCTTTAGTACATTAAAATTGATAAATAAAACAGCAAAAATATCGCCATTATGGATAACAGGATGTTCCTCGTTAGTAGTGAGTAATTGATTCATTGATCAAATTCGAGAAAACAAAAATAAGAACGAACAGCAGGTAATCATTAAAAGCATTACAAGGCCAAACTGCGTGCGCGGTTTGTGATTTGTAAGCGGATTCCGCAAAAGAACGTTCTCTTTGATCTTCTTTAGTTGTATCATTTTCTTTGAAAATTATTGTTTCGATCGGCAAAAATTGACTGAATAAAAAAACCACTCCGAGAAAATATATGCCGTTTTCTTCGAAAGTTGGAACAAAAAGTCATTACGCCCCGATCTTTTATTCGATTGTGCTCGAACTCAGCTTCGGCTGCGCGCGACTTGATTCGGCCTAGAATAAAAATGCACTTTCCTCAGGGTAATTTATTTTGAAGGTGATTTTCGCCTCAAAAAATTTAAAAAAATTACTGATGTGCGACAAAAAAAATAAGGTAGATTTGCTGATCAACAAAATGATATTTAAAAAATGCTTGATTTCAGATTTATTCTTGATAACAAAAAATAATGTATCCTCTTGTAGCTCGTAGATCACAATATCTTCACAAGTCTAACTGAGCCCTCTAGTTTGCGGCAAACAACTATTCTCAAATGAGTGCGGCTGAAATTTTTTGCCGAGGTTTTTTCTCCAAAGTTTTCAATTCAAAATTTGATCAATAGAAAAAAAAAAGAAGGACAAAAAACAGGCTGCACACAATTTAGGTTTCTTCTGTGCTCTGCTCGACTTTTGTTTCGACTTTCTCGAAAAAAAATTGAGTAATTTTCACGACTGCAAATTTTTGACTGCAAAAATTCAACTTGTCGACTGTAAAAACAGAATTTGAAAGGCTTGATTCTAGTAATTAGACAAACTGAAATAACCAAATTAACCTGATCGTAGCAATACCAGCTGTTTAGTTCCAAAAGCTATCATATGAAGTATAATGTTCCTATCAGTTATCGCAACCAACTTATAGAGTAAGTCGATAAGTAGTTGTGGTTAGCAACACAATTGAATTCATAGAAAGTTATGTTAATGAAGTAAATTGCTTCCTGCATCTATTGAAGAAGAATAAGCGGCCTTAATTTGACGATTGAAGCCTAAGAGGCTTTAAATTGCAACCTCACTACTAAGTTTGTTATTGGAAAAATGTTCAATTAAACTGAAACTAAGTTGTATTGTTTCAAAAAAGACACCAAAATCTTCCTTTGTAACATTGGACAGTTGAAGTTGTTCTGGAAAAATTGTTGAGGTTCAAAGACTCTTAATTGAGTTCGTGATATAGCCCTCTTGAAAAAGTTTTAGGCATGTTTTAGCTTTAAACTTAGAAAAAAGCTCTCAATAACTAACTAATTTTTTGCTATCCAGACTCATCTTTGTCAGCTTTCTGATTTTTTTGTTATCAGTAGCGGATTTAGAGAGTAGCGGCCAGGGCGAACGACACCTCCATCAGGGGTTCGACACCCTGACGACCAAAAGTGTCCCCCTCACGACCAAAAGGGTCCCCCCTTTTTGGCATTCTTTGAAGATATTTATATTTGGCTGACCGCGATATTAAGTTGTTATAAAAGTACCTCTGGCCTCAATATATAAAAAGTTGAGGTCAAAGCGTGCGGCAAAAAATTGCGCCGCTCAAAAACGTGCTCAAAAAGATTTTCTGGTTTGTTTTTGTTTTCAAAATATTGCCTGTGGCTCGAACAGTATGGTCAAAACAGTGTTCTAATAGTGATTCGGAAGAACTGGGAAAATCAATTTGAATGAACTAAAAAATTTTGACACATTTATCATGCATTACGTGGCCAAACGTGCATTTCGTGAATTGTAAGCAGTATCCGCAACATGCCAAAAACATAATTTAAACTACCGTGGAATCCGCAACTGTAAGTGGAATCTGCAAATTGTAAGCTGATTCCTCAAATTGTTAGCGGAATCCACTTACATTTGCGGAATCCTCTTACTTTTGAGGAGTCCGGAACAACAAACTTTATTTGCTCGTCGCGGACTCCGCAGCAAATCTAAAAAAGCTGACAAAATTTACGTTACAATTATTTGTACGCGGAATCCACGGTAACTTTTGTAAATGGAACCCACTCATATGTGGAACATATTTAAAGGCTTGTCTCTGGAAACCAGAATCATTCAGATACAAAATTGTGAGCCTATCCAGAGCACAGTTATGCTTCGTAATGTGTTTTTTAAGGCATCCGCCCCTTGATAAGTTACTAGATCTGCTTTTGTACGGAATTCTGATTTTCTCGAGTTTTGAACAAATATCAAGCAAGTCCGAGCTCGCTCGAACTAATGCGGTGAATTTTTGAATACAACTGCATTTGACTCAGAGCCTGGTTTAATTTTCTTGGCATTTTTCACCGATTTCTTTTTATGACTTTGGTCTGCGAGTTATATTGACAAAAATACCATTGCTTGGAGCTGAAATTAGGCCATGTTTTGTATAATGTAACAAAAACTTGGGTTGTTTTATGTTCAGTTTTTTTGTAGTCAGTTTTCGCCGAACAAAGTTATAAATTTCAACAAAAAATTTTATACGCCATTGAAAATATCGACCCTCTGAAGTCAAATGCAAAAGAATATTTGCCTCCAAAAATTTTTTTCAAAGTTCTCATAGTTCGAAAATAGCCAATTTGACCATGCTCTGGACTCATTTATGCGCTCTTTAAAGATCGCATTCATAATGCTAGAAACGTAACTAATTTATTCCAAATTGAAGTAAGGCTTGCTAGTCGGTCGTATTAACTTCGTACGACTCAAATTTTTTCACTTTATTTTTGATATTGTCCAAAATTTATACTTTTTTAGGATTTTCATTTCCGAAAAAAAACTATTCGATTTTCATCAAGGGGCAGTCGGAATTTTCAGGGCTTTCAATTTTCAGGCCTGATATACGAGCCAACTTGATTTTGTTCACTCAATTTTTTGGCGATCCGAAGAATAGTTTTTTTTAAAATAATTGCCATTGAAGATATTGAATACTTAAATCAAAATTTGAAAACTTTTTTAACCTCCGATCGTTTCATGCAAAGTTCTGGGATTGTGAAGATAAGCCAGATTGGCTTTGCTCTGAACTAAATTATGCGCGAAGGGAAAATCTTCATGCCGAAATTTTTATGCGATTTATTTATGCGCGGCGAACTATCCCGCTTAACCATTTTGTTCCAAAATGAATTGAGGCAACCTAATCCGTCGCATTAAATAAATGAACTATTTTTTCCAAATCCTTTTTGCTTTTGAAAAATTTGATTTGGGGATAACTATTTGATAACAATTGCGGGGCAGCCCAGACATTCAAAATTTTGCCCCAGTTTTTTGGCGCCTTAAAAACTGAAACTTGTATTTTCGAGTATTGCTTCTTCTCTTATTTTTTCAGACCAGTTGCAGATTTTTGGCAAGCTTTACAAAATTGGAACAAACATTTTTTGTTGTGACTTCTTGTTCAATTTTTAAAGTCTCTATATGGAGGCAATCCCGATATAATGTTTGCATCCATATTTGGTATTTTGACCATTTTTGGCAACTTATACTTGAGCAATCATAGGTTTTGACTTATTCAACAGTATGTAGTTGTTCACGACCAAAATTTAATATTTTTAAACAATAAAGAATTTTTCAGCCTACCCTTTACTAGATTTTATGTTCAGAATTTCACAAGGAAGAGCGTGGTTGTGACTATGATTTTCGAGAATGGAATAGACAGCGTTGCGGCTTTCAAAGTCCCTACAAAATCTGGAAAATTTTAAAAAGAAAACTAACTTCTTATTTGAAAATCAAACACATTGGTAAAATTATGGTTAAATTATGTTCTAATTGTTTTTAGTGAAATTCTTTTAATTATAAAAATTGATTAATGAGGAAAGATGTTTTGAAGTTGAAGTAGGTACAAAAAATGGTTTTCACTTGTAATCAAGAAAACAATCTGACAGAAATTCGAGGAAGGTTGATATACACGCATTTCAGCAGGATGCTGAAAAACCTTAAGTTTTGGCAAAATCTAGTCCAATTAAATTTTATGGCTAAGAAAATTAAATTTTAGGGCCATGAAGTCAATTTCAAATAAATAGAATCTTTTTTTTGCCTTCCGGAACAGAGAGTAATTGAAGCTTGACATCTGGGAGAACTAAAAGTTTTTCATTTTGTTTATCAGTACCTTTTAAAAATGCACCTAAGAATCTTATTTAAAGCTCAAGTTATGAAAAAATTTATGAAATGATTGAAATAAATTAGATTTAGAGCACAACATTTTTGCCAGAAACTTCTGAAGTTATTTCAGAGCAAAAAATAAACATTGATTTAAAAATATCAGTTTTTAAATCAGATTTTGAAAAAAGTTTGACTAATTGAAGGATGAAACTTTCAGTGTAAGAGAGACATCAGAAAAAAATAATATGGAATTGTATAACGAACCTGCTTAAATCTACATTGAGCACAATTTTGTGCGACTGATGATTTTAGGTTTCTTATTTATGCTGGACAGCAGTTAAAAAACAAAACAATGAAACCCTTTTGTCCATATTTTTTAATAATTTCAAACAAAACAAGTATAGCCGGTTACTGTGGAAATAGCCCAGAATATTCCGAACGTAGTCCTAACAAAATCCAACATATTTTCAAAAACTATTATCACTTTTTTTGTGAGGTGTAATAGAAAGATCTGAATGAATATATATATATATATATATATATATATATATATATATATATATATATATATATATATATATTCGACAGTCATAGCGATTAAGTCAATTGAAAAATAGTTTTTGTAGAACAAGATTGAAAAAAAACAATTGTAACGAAAAATTAAAATTTTCATAATTTTTTTTTCTAATTTTTGCAGAAGTTTTTAAAGTTTTGAAAGTTTTGATTGCCAAAATGCCCTAAAAACTCCAAAAACTAACTTTGTTATTTTAAAATTACGCTTTCACGGAGTTCAAAAAAGCCTGTTCGCTGACCTTATTAGCTAGATATTGAATCAAAAATCAGAAAATTCAAACCGATTTTTCTTATTACAGAAAAATTTGTAAGTTTTTTTTGTCGTTTGAATCAGAAATGAAAGGGTTTTTATATGAAATATAACTTGGTCCACTCCGATGGTTGTTTATCATACCTGATTTTGCGTGGAACACACGTATACAAAAATCAAATAGCAGCGTCTTTCAAATAGTCGGAACAATAAAAATTACATTATGCAAATGCTAAAGTTGAATCAATTTTTGGTCGAATGCTAAGGATAAAGTTAAAATAAGATGAATAAAAATCTAATTTTGAGACGTTATTGCTTGAAAAGTTCATAAAAGTTTCTAATTCGAAAATCAAATTTTGAGCGCGAAATTATGTAAAAGGATTTTAATTTGTGAATATCGTTTAATCAAACTCTGCAACTGACCAATACCAATCTGGTTTTGGCCGCAATATTGTTATACCAGGCCGCGAAAACGATTTAAGCAATACAAACAGAAAATTGAGCTAGAAATTTATCATTAGTTCACCAAAAATATTCTATCCATATCCAAATGATGAATTGGGCACAATTTAATTTAGTAAACAAAAAAAATAGTCAATTCAAATCAGATAATTAAGCCTAGCGTTATTTTGTAAAATTTTCAATAGTCAACAAAAAAGTTTTATTTCTGATTTTTTTTCTAACCAAATGTTTTTCGAAGAACCATAATGCATTAGAGTAGAGAAAATTATTAGGAGATCAAGCTTAGTAGTCGTCATTAACACACTTTGCATCTGCAAAAAAATGCTCTGGTCGAAAAAATAATTTGAAGGCTTTTAAAAAAATTTTTGATCTATTTGGCATCAATTATAACCAATTTTATAAAAGATTTAAATATTTGCATAAACTTTAAGTGATTTTTTTTCGAATGAAATTTGTTTGCTTTGATTGTTGAGTGATGAAAGACAAGCTAATGTAATCCACTCGTTATCAATTTTTATAATGATTTTTCTAGCCACATTTTCAACATCTACGTAAAATCGATCCCACAAAGTGATGGCAAACTTAGGGTCAAAAATACTCTTTGCTTTCCCTCTTTTATAAACCTTAACTACTAACAATAATCAGGAAAAATATGCTATAACAAAGGAAAATTGCTTTTGTTAGAAAGTTGGGCTCATTCATTATTTTGAATCCGGTACCAAAAAATGCTTTATATCTGACCTCAAATGTTTTATATTTTATTTGAATTTGTGGTCAAATGTTCTTTATGAAAAGTTTGAATATAGTAAGGATTTTCTTAAAATGCCTGTAGCAATACAATTCAAATTAGCTCTAGTTATAACAAGTGTTGCCTTGCATTATAATGCTAAAAGTAATTGAACCTATGAGGTCACGTGTCCGAGTGGTTAGCAGAACCGTCTATCTCCGATTTCTGACCAGAAATTAGTTAAATCTAGGCTATTTCTAGCTTGAAAATTTTTTTTTCGGATGGGCTCCAATCCCCGTTAATTTGCAATGTTTTGCTCCGGCTATTGTGTATACTCGAAGAGTCTTTATCTCGTTGCAGTTGAGCAGTGAACTTTTTTCTGGTTATCTATTTCCAGAAATTGTTTATTTCTAAGCAAAGAAAAGAAATAGATCATTTCTGCACAGAAAAAAAAACGAGAAAGTTTGGCTAGATAATTATAAACTTTTCTATTTAAAAAAAAACAGCTGTTGCGCACGAGATGGAGAAACTGAGGCTAATCCTATAGACATTTTTTTGTAAACAGGAGGACCAACATTGGAAAGCCAACTTGATTTTGTATTTTAAAAAATGAAAAAGTTATGTTTTTGGGGCTCTGAGTTTCTATTAGAAATATTGAGTTTTTTAACAGGCTATTGTGAATGAAATTTATAACAAATTACGTCCTCACAAAAGACAGCTGTTTTTGTTTCACTGACAACCAGAGAAAAACAACAAACAACAGTTATGTTTTCACGCCTCATGATCAATTTTTTGTTGCTGGAATTTGACCTTCTCAAATCCAAAGAATTTTCAAGAAGTTTCTAATTCACTGCAAACTATCCGATCCAGATTTTGAACTGATCGGACCTAAATGAACTGAGCTTTTTGTCGTAATGCGCAAGAATAACCTCCTGTTATTGATGGTCTTATTTCAGTTTTAACCTTTTCAGTTAATTTTTTTTTTGACTTTTTTTTACTCAAGAAACATTGAAATTGGAAAAAAGTTTAAAACATGAAATATTCAACTTGCTTCTACAGCAGCTGATTTAATTTTCAATGAAAAAAAAAAGAATTGAGGAAAATCAGAATTGAATTTCAGTTTTCAGTCTGACTTTTTGACGATCCTTCAAAAAATTGAAAAAGTTCTCCTGAGTTTCCATTTTTTCAGTATTCAGCAAAAAAACCATTCATATCATTTTCATCAGTCTTAAACTAGCTTTTCGGCGAATTATTTCAACCTCTCTTGCCCCACAAAGCGACTCTGTCATAGCATTTGTGCATCTCAGTTAGAGACCCCGCTTTCATCACGCATGACTGCAACTTAGCCGCCATTAGTTGCCTCATATTATTTTCCTGCATCAATTTTCTCTCTGGCTCGTTTTGCAGAAGGGACAAAAACCGGTGCTTTTTGTTCTCGGGAGCATCAACTCTCTCGGATCCTTCGAAGTGATGTTCTGGACAGTCGTATTGGTCAATTGGAACCATGTCTAGATCCAACTTGAAAGACTTCAGCTTTCGTTCCATGATTTCAACATCCGAAATCCGCGGGTGTCGAGTCCTTGATAGGATCCAAGCAACTTGGATTTTAAGGTTTGCAAACTCTTCGCAAAAATAGACGATGGAAAATTCCCGGTCAAGGTACAGGACGATGAAATTTGGCGGCGAATTTTTAGTGCGCGTCGGGATTTTGTGGTCGATGGAAAAAGATCCGACGTTGGATCTTCTGGCAACTTTTTGAGGCGCCTCGACTACGTTGCTCGTAAACTGCTGGCCGTCAAAACCAGTACTGTTGATGTGCAATGTCCACCCTGGAAAAAAGTTTCGCAATTTATACATTATCAGAAAAAAAAATCAATTGAAAAACCAAACAGAATACAAGTGAAAAAGCAAACATAATACAATATGCGAAAAGACAATTTCTCAATCACGGTGTTTCACAACACCAGAGCTTTAACTTTGAACCTTTTTCCAATTTTCATCTACCAATTTTGTGACGTGGACTTCTTTAGTTTTGTCGACCAACTAAAAAAAAACTTTTGTACATTATTTTTTTCGTTTTGTTGAAAAAGTATATATAGCAACTTCTGCCGAAAGCACAATTCTTATGGCTAAAAACGACCATTGTAAAAAACTTTCAAAAAAGCTATTAAATTAGCAACTGAAAAATTAAAGTTTTTATACTCTCACTGCTGCTCTTGTAAGTGGTGAAGGAAAACTCTTCGACTGTGCAAGTAGTGGGTATTTCGTTGTATTTGACATCAGCCCGTGATCTCAGCAACTCAAACCAGCGGCCTGAAAACATCTCTTCAGTCACGTGCACGGCAGCCAATCGGGGACATTTTCCCTCCATCACCACTGCAAAGGAGACGTGAACAATGTATGTCATTAGCATCACTAATGATAAAATCAATTGTCCTCTCATTGTTACAATTTTTTTCTGTATTTTTACAAAAATCTGCAAAAAGAAATGACAAAAAGAACCAGAGCTAATTTGACCCGAAATTTATTTTCAATTTCAGATCTGCCGATCAGCATCAAAATAAAAAGTAAACGGTTTAGTTTTGTATTTGGTTGATGAAAGTATTTGAGGATAAATAGCAGAAATTTGTTATATTTACTTGACAAACTTGGTTTGCACTTTAATTTAAAGAATTCTGAAGGTCACGTAGTTGCCGTAAATATGTTCAGATATGAAATTGAGACAGGAATTGATGTATTTGCTTTTAAAATCTTGACCGTTTTTGATCTTTTAGGATAAACACAAACTTTTCCATAAACTAACAAAAAATTTAATGGAAAAACGCTAGTCATAATTTCTTATATAGAAAAAAAAGATAATCACATCATTCCAGTGAAAGAAAAAGCTACCAAGCTATTTTCATTTTTCTTTTATGCACATTAAAGAAATTTCAAGCTAGACTTTTTCCATACTTGGAAATTTTATGACCAGCATTCTTTGAACCAAACATATATCTGTCAATTAGCGCAAAACGTGAAGGTTATTTTTTACTTACGATATTAATTTATCAGTAAAAATTAACAATTGTAAATATTCCTAATGAAACGAACAATAAAACCTCAATAAAAACTTTGTTCGTCCCATTTACGAGCAACGTAGTCAGAGTTAAATTTTTTTACATCGATTTTTATCTAAACAGTCAGCCTTAACCTCAACTATTAGGTAACAACCGATGTGAGAAAAATCCATCCACGTTTCTTTCTAATACAGAAAAACATTTTGGGTTAACACAGGGGCAGATCAGGGATTTTCTCGAGGTGGGGGGCAGATTTTCAGAAGTTTTCGAAACTTTTGTCGACTTTTTTTAAGGTCGACCAAATGGGTTTTTCGAGCTCTCCCAAAGCACTAAAAAAGTCCCTTTTCGCATTTTTTCGGCGCGCGCTTCGCCCTGAAAATTAGTATATTGGAAAATTTTTAGGGTCCGACACCAAAAATGGGTATCTCAAAATAGTACAACGGGTCCGTCCCTCTAAATCTGCTACTGGGTTAACCAATTAGGTGTTTAGAATATTGGTACTAGAAAAAGAAGAATTCGTAAAAATGCATACCATACAATTTCATTCAATTTTGTTCACAAATTAATGTAGCGTGGTAGCATTTTTCCATCAATGGATTGGTATGATCAACTTTTTTCTAAGCGAAACATTATATCTCAAGAAAAAACTAAAAATGCCAAGTAAACGTGAAATTTTTTCCCCTTAATCAACGGAACTTGTTTTTTAGGTTTGGAATCCGTGGTTATTTGTTTTATGACAAAACACAAAATTATTTAGCAATGTGCAAAAAAAACTTCGATTTAATGAAAAATTGGCAATCATAGAAAATTCATGATCGAAAGATTTTTTTTAGAGAATTCATGTAATATTTTGTGGGGATGTAAAATGTAGAACTGTATGACAAGAAGTTTTTCTTACATGGATTTTGTATGATAAGACGTTCTATTCAAGCGTGTAAAATGTTATTCTAAAAATGGTAATTCAGAAATGAGTTTTGCATTTATTGCACATTTCAATTGATTATTTCGATTGGCATAAAGGTAAATGTCTTGGTTTTCAATATTGCACTCGAACTGATTTATTTTTGTATTCGTTTTTCTGAAACATTCCTCTAAACTTCAATCATAGCGAAGTTTTCGGAGTATGTTTGCTAAATGGAAATGAATAAAAAAAGCAGTGACAGTGTGGGTATTTAACATAAATAAATAAACTTTGCCTTTTGCCCAATTTTTTCTTTTGGACTTTTATGTTCCGGACAAAAGCTTTTGGTGGCATTGCCGACAGTTGCATCAGCAGCAATTTGATTAATTTCAGACCAAAGATATTTGTTTGGCTTGTAGATCATTAATGCTTTGCTTACCAGCTTTCTTTTTTTGGAATGTAAATTTGCGTGCAATGAATTCTTGTTTGATAAAAGTTTGATAAAACTCGGGAATTACTTTAAGTGGTGCTTTTGATTCAGCAAAACTTGATAGAAGTAAGCTTTTTCTGTGCAAGTTTGTAACAAGAGCCATTAAGCTAGGCTAGTCAGAAGTTCACACTCGATGTGAAAAGAAAAAAATCAATTTAAATGACAGCATCAAGCAGTCAAGCAGTACAAGGTAGGTGTTTCTCGGACCAACTCACAAAATAATCAGCTGAGTCTATTATTACTGAAATTTCAATTTTTTTTTGGGTTAAATGTCTCACAATTTGACTTTGAACATTACTAACGTTACTTCAAATAATTTTGATATTACCTCTTGATTTTCGATTTTTTTAAAAACTCAATTCACTTTAAAAAAAGAATAACAATTTCTAAAATAAAAGGTTTTTTTAAACTTTTTTCAAATTTCTTGATTGTTTCTCTGAATTTTTTTTCACTTAAATAACCTATGAATCCAAAAAGTAACATTACCTATTTAACCAGCCAGACTTGGAACTCCATCTGCAAATGTGGTTTTAAATTTTGATAGCTGAAATGTTGGACTCAGAAGGATGTATTATTTCCTTAAATAAAGTATAACCACTTCACGATGTCATTTTTTTCGACTAGCAACTGTAAATCTCGAAAAATTTGTATATTTTTTTACATTTTTTATTGAAACTTTTCTAACCGTAAAATGGGATCCAAAGTGTTCACTAGATCGAAACTTAATTTAGCACTTTCGCCTTAATTATCTCCCGTCAAGTTTTCATTTCATAGAAAAAAAATGATATTTTTGGCAGTTTTGCCGAAAAACAGAGTATCATGATTTTCTTATTTCAAACAAGAGAAATTTGGCCTACAGTTAATTATTGATCCTCTTAAGAGTTCCGTTACTTATAAAAAAATTAAGGGATTTGAAATAACTCGAGTGTAATTGGGTTATAAGCGTCATGTTCGTCGAGTTTCCTTATCCAATTCAATTCACCTTTATTTAGAAAAAAAACGATAACAATGGTAAGAACAAATGCTTTGATTACACTTTTTATTCAGTTTCTTCAGTTTTTTGAGTTTTCTCACTTAGATCAAGAAAAAATTCCGAATTGTAACAATTATCATTCAACCAACCAGATTTGGATTTTCAGCTGCAGATATGGTTTTGAAATTTAATAGCAGAGAATCAGAAGAACGAAAAATTTGCTTAGATATTGTATCAACCACTCCATGAAATGATTTTTTTGTCTAGATTTTTTTGTATCCCGAAAATAAATTTGTTTGTTCGGACCATTTGGGAACTCGGATGTCTTCTGATTATTTTTTTTCACGCAAAATCAGCTACCACAAATAATCTTCGGAGCGAGTTGAGTGACATGAATTCTAAATGAATTCCGTGTCGAGACAAACCGGTTTGAAATTTTTGATTTTTTGTCAAGTTTCAAGCGAGTAAAGCGAGCAAGCAGGCTCATAATAGTTTATTTTTATAGGTTAAAAGCTGAAACGGTTAAAAGCTTATAAGTAAAATTAGTTTTTTTTGAGTTTTTTATTGCTTTTTTCTTTAAAAAATCAGACGTTCAAACAAAACAACACAAAACTTCAATAAAAAAGAGAATTTTTAGTCATTTTTCTGCATTTCTTTTTTCTAAATTGCTTATTTTATTATGACTGTCGAATATTTCTAAGCTCTAGTTTTTTGTTCCGATTCTATCAGCACACCACGCAGAAAACACAACTAATTTGAAAAACTTTTTTTATTAGTATGGTCGGAAAAATCTGTGCTATTTGCATATTTTTATTTATTTAACTTTTAATTTGTAACAAATTTTTCTAACCCTAAATTTGGGATTCAAAAAGTTGAAAATTTTTGTTCTGAGTGAAGTTTGCCGTCTTAATACGAAGCACGCTACTGATTGAATTGCTGTTACAATATTATTTATATAATTTTCGACTAGACGAGGCACGTGTCCGAGAAAAGGCCAAAACCTGATTGTTTTCAGAGGCCCAAACAAATTATTCATGTGCACAACGAACTTTTGCTTTATTATTTGCCTTGAAAACTGAATAAAATCTAGTTGTAAACATCAAAAAGACATTTAGATTTAATTGAAATGAACTGATTGCAATGATATTGAAAAGTTTTTTTATAAAACAAAAAAATGGCGGTTGATGTCAATTTGGTTCAGTTTATTAACTATCTGTAATTCTAGTTTCAGCGTCGATTAATTCATTGATGGTTGTCGGGTATGTTGTCGATCGCTCGATTCCTTTTGTTAAAATCTCCTGTAATTCCTCGTCGTCGTAGCAACCGTTTTCCTCGTAATAAATTTCATCGTAATCGTTAATCGATATGATAGACTGAGCATTTGGACAAGGCGCCGATTTCTGAATCATCAAGGAATTTTCCGGAACATTCGAGAATTTTCCATTGTCCGCAATTGGTTGAAATTTATCGGGCTCACGTGAAATTAAATTTGATTTGGAAAACTGTTCTAGATTTTTTGAGCTGAAAACATCGGCAGTTGATTGGTAGTTTTTGATAATCGGTGCTAATTTGATTGAAGATGATTCGCTAGAATTTTGACTACTGTTCGACCCGATAAAACTTTGAAACTTTTCGTTCTCTGCCAACTGCGGCAACGAAATTGAAGCTGACATATCAAGTGACGCATTCAGATAGTCCAAAGTGCTCTGATTTTTAGAAATGCCCCATAAGTTAAGAGGTTTGATCAGACTGTCAGGAGGCTGCGGTTTAATCCCAGCCCCTCGTTTTTTCCCGACTGCACTCGTAAAAGCCGAAGTTGACGAATCTCGGTTTACGAGTGATGAGGGAATAGCAGTCCCGTTTTGTTCTTCTTTGTTCTCAGATTTGTATTTCGAATTACAATTATTTGAAATGGATTCAGGATCCATTTGCATTTTTGAAGTATATGAATTGTTGGAGATTGAACAAGCAGCTTCTGAAGCTTGGCGATTGTTTTCAGTTTGGCTGGTCTTAGAAATTGTTGGTTCGTTGTAGATACCAGTAAAATAAAGGTCGGAGCAGAAGTTTTTGAAGTTATTGCTCAAGTTCCCATTTTTGTTATTCACGCCTTTTGTTTGCTGAAAAGACAAATAATTACCACAAAGTTACAATTTGCGCCAAGTCAAATCTAAACAATAGTGTGGGAATTATGAAAAGAAGGCTTAAAACAGGCCGGAAAAATAGGGAAAACTGAATGAAATTTCGAACATTTCCCAGTTGATAAAGTTTATCTGCGAAAAGTTTCCTGAAAGGTTGCAGAGTTGTTCCGAAGTTGTAAGCTATCTGAAGTTATTGGTTTGAAGAAAATATTTTACATGTGTTCGCCGCTGAGAAAATTGCAGTCAGATTTCCGTAATTTTGATAAAACAAGATCCCCTGAAAGATCCAGGGCTAATTTGAACCGTATGACTCTAGACAGGGTCAAATTTAAACTTGAAACAAGGATAGCCTGTTACTCTTGCGAGTAGCATTTTCTCAACATCCATACTGAAAGCAATATAATCCACCCAAGATTTCCATGCCTACCAACTCATCATCCACGATGCTTTTTTTGCAATATAATATTGCTAAAATATTTTTTATTGAATTCATTTTTTTTGTTTTTTTTCTGAAACAAGTATAAAAAGGAAATTGGATCAAAAAGTTCTACTATTTTAGAAATTCTTATTAGATTTGTGAGAAATTTCTGCTATCTTACAGCTTTCTTTTTAAAAAAACTCTAAAATTATTTTCTTAAAATTCAGAAAAATTGCCTTAACACTTTGACAGATAAAAACAGATAAAAACCAACTTAGTAAAACTTTCATTTTTTTCAAGTTTAAATGACCTGATCTTAACAAAAAAAATCAAATATCAAACCGCGAAAAAAAAGAACTTAAAGCAAAAAGCGAAAAAACAAAAAAGTAGCAAAAAATCATCACTACCTATAAAAGAGTCTGAACTAAGTTGAAAAAAAAAAAAACGTTTGGATAGATTTGTTTCGAACTGAATTTTTAACAAGCAGTATCAACAATAATGTTTAAGTTTGAAATTTCCGTAAATTTTGAAGGTAATGTCGAGAGACAAGAAAAATAATCAAAGTTTGTTGACCGGAAAGTAAAACTGAATTTCAGCAAGATCGAAGAGGCTCCAATCTCTGATGAATTCAATTTCAAAATTAAATTAACTACAAAAGTAAACCCTTTATGATAATGGGATTTCAGTTGATTGAACAAATGGATTTTGCGAAACAAACAGCTGTTTTTTTATTCCTGATAGCTGAAATTTAATTTCGGTAAAAAAAGGATATTACTAGAGGCTCTGGCTTTGAAGGGAAAAAAGCGGATTGATCTTCAGTGGCAAAAATAACAAATCTAATTATTGAAAAGACTTTATAACTTCAGTTCAATAACCTCATTTTGGTGATTTTGTTTTTAAATGTTGCTTCCCAAAATTAGAAGGTATCCGGAAATAATTTTTCGATTCTGTCTTTTTGATTGTAAAATGGTCGTCTTATTGGGTCGAGTCATCTCGCCAACTAAATCATAGAAACTTGCTTTAGATGTTGTATTGTGTTTAAATCGATATTTGCTTTCCAATGGAGCTATAGTAAAGTTTATACTAGCGGGTTGCTTGCTTACTTTGACACTTTTTTAAACCAAAAATGGATATGAAACAAGAGCAAAAATGGGTACAAACCAACTTTACAAAATTAAGTCCCCAAGGTTCAAAAATCGACATCAACCCAGCAGATTTGAGTTTTTTGGCACATATATCATTTGATCCATTCCGCTAATTGTTTATGCTGTTTGATTTTGCGAGGAAAACAAAAGTAAAACACACCCGTATACAATGTTCTTCCCCATTTTTCAAATGGTCGTAACAAAAAAACAACTTATGCTCGGTTATTACATGATTTTGAAATTGTATCAGAATTAGGTAAATTAGACGCAGACTGCCGAGTAAAAATCAACTTTTACCGATGTAAAAGTTCTATAAAATTTAGAGTAGCTTTTTTAATTTCACAAATGGATTCACGCTAATTAAAGTCAATTGAAATGGTTTGTTTTAGCTACCTTTTGATATTAGAAATTAACATAAGCACCAAGCCGTTGATAAAGGTTCATTGAACGCTGTTGAAGAAAAAAAACAGATGGGCTTAAAGCTCTTTGAATTTCATAGAATAATCTATAATTGGCCCCTTTTTTGATGAAACTAATCAAATTTGAGGAAACTGGCTCAATAGACAAACTTTGGTTTTCACTGGGCAATCTGAAAATTGAATTCATTTTCGAAACTAAAAATTGATCTAATTTTTCTGCTTTTTACACTTTTGCTGTTCAATAGAGAACTTTGCTTTCCCTTTAACGGAGAATATGAATTGAACTAAAAAAAAATCAAAATCAAATCGTGAAAAAATCAAGCCGAGCTTCCCGATTAAAATAACGGGAAAAAATCCTCACGACCTATACAATAGTCTGAACTATGTTCATTGATTCTTAATGTTGAAGGAGAATTGGTGGCTGAAACAAAATCAATTATAAAGATTTGGCATTGTGAAAAACAAATCTTCGGAACAATCATCCTAGCGCTTCTAAAGCACTAGGAATTGCAAAAACTCAAAAAAAAAGAACAATTTTTATTTCCCATGTTTGGCTATAGTTTTGAAGAAAGACTGTAGTTGATAAGTTTTTCACTAGGATTACTGAAGTCATTGATACTGTCTGCTCCAAACAGTCATATAAATTTAGAAGTATCCTATATTCTAAGAAAAAAAGGGTAGCCGGTTACTGTGCAAGTAGCACAGAAGATTCCGACCATGTTCTTAAATAAAAACTTAAATAAAAAAAATATTCAAGTTTTTATTTAAGTTAGTTTTCTTTACCGCGGCGTGATGAAAAGATCCCAAGAAAGCCTGAAAAATAGATTTTTCCGACAAGCGCAAAAAAGTAGTGCAAAGGTTTTTTGTCAAAAAAAGACACACAAGAAAACTTAGATTCTTTTGCAGAAAATTTCTTAATTGTTTGAAATTCTTTATTTAAAAAAAATGGCGCTCGAAATATCTCAAAAAAAATTTACTAAGGTGTCCTGGCCAATCCTCTATGACAAGTCTGTTTGCTTGCTTTCTTTGATCGAAATTAGACTTAAAACTGAAAAAAAAAATCAAACCTGTTTTTCTCGACACTCGGACAATTTTTAAAAAGTTTTTTTTTAATTTCATTCAAATCAGGATTGAAAGGAATTTAGTATGACATAATATTCTCTGACTTTTGTTGTGAATTGTTTCATTATGAAACACAATAGTCCTGCTCGCTTACTTTAATTGCGCAAAATTAGACCAGAAAATAAAAATTTCAAAATTTTTTTCTCGATAATGAGAAAAATTGTTCAAAATATTTTAATTTCGTTCGAATCACGACTGAAAAGGCAAATAAACATAAAAATTAAATTCCACATTCGAAACTAGAAATCACTCATGTTTTTTTGCGTCTTTTCCACGTTCGTATTTGGAGAGTGCTATTTGGCTATTTACATCACTTTCGGCTGATGACTTTCAATTAAACTCAAAAAGTGCATACATATCTAAGTGCATCAATATTTAAGATTTTTTCCTTAAAAAATCAGCAAAACCTATATATGAGTCTTCACCACGTTCTTTACTTTTCAAAACACACACAAATTTGAACCCCCCCCCCCCCCATTTTTCAATTGGTCGGATCAAAAAAAAAACATTCGAAAAGTAAAAATTTAGTTTCCAAATTGTTGTCGAAAATGTAGTTCTATTTATAAAGCAGATGGCATTTTTTCTTTCTTTTCAACTGTTTCTTTTTCAGGGAAAACTAGAAAAACTAGACTCACCAATGGATTTCAGATGCATGCAAGTGATAACATTAGAGCATTTTCAATTGTGATTTAATTGATTTTTAAATTGTTCTTTATCTTTTCTTAGTTTCGAGAAAACTTTGCAGGGAAAATTTTGTTTTTCAATAACTTTTTAAAGCAAGTAAAGCAAGTATTTTCTTTTGGAGGCTTGGAAAAAAATTGGCATGAAAACAAATTTTTTGAAACTTTACTCAGCATTTCTGGCTCGAAATCTCCACAAATAAAAAAACATAAAAAATTTCACATAAATTCAGTTACGCTTTTGTTCAGAGCTATGCCAGGATAGTTGTAGATAAATGATACCAGGATGACATTTTCCAAGGTTAGTTTGTTTTTATTTCGCTCAATTTTTCATACGCGCAAAAACACAGCACAAATTTAAAAAGTTAGAATAAAATTTTTTCATCTAAATAATTTTCAGTGGTCAGAACCTTCTGATTAACTTGCAATTAAACCAGCTACACTCATTTTTGTATTAAATTTTGTTTTATTTTAGAAAAGGGAAATCAAATTATTTTAACTGCAAGAATAGGAGGAAACTGTAGCTCATATGGTATTGGAATTAAATTACCCGGGTTGACCTCCATAGACCGAAAATGCTAATCATACAATTTCATACACTTAGTCTATGGAAAAATGCTAGTCATACAAATTTCATAACTTTTTGCTAATTGAGTTTAATCGAACTTCAAAAGTATTTAATAGTTGTTTTGGTATCGAAATTAGTATCTCTTCATAAACAAAGGAAAAAAATGGTATGAAAAAAATGCTAATCATACAATTTCCTTATATATGGAAATAGTATGATTAGCATTTGTTTTTGAATTTTTTGTGAAAAAAAGCTTTGAACAATCAATTCAACTGCTGGCAAAAAATTTAAGCGTTTTTTGGGTTGCTACAACCGAAAGCTTTGTTTTTTTTATTTTTGTTTTCTGAAAAAAAAACACTAGTCATACAATTTCCATATATTTTTTTGATTTTTTTGACTAGTATTTTTAAAATTGCCCCCAAAAACTTTTTTTTTTTGGTTTTTTCAACCGCAATATGATTTTCGTGTTCAAACAAACTTTTTTGAAAAAAAAATATTGCATGCAAAATTTAATTTTTTGTGTGTATAACGTAATCCTGGATATACTAATATTGGATTTTTTTTTCCTTTTCGGTTCATAACTTTTTTCAAAAACGCTTAAAACTCCTCTTTCTTTTGTATGACATGTTTTTGTATGCCTTGATCAATGTCTTGTAATTTAAAAAATCAATTTTTAGAAATAATCATCTTTGAAAATTATTGCCAAAATTTAAAAGTTCATTACTATCTCTATACTATTTGTGTAAGACATAAGTAACACATATCAGGCTGTTTCCAATGCATTATTAATGCAAGACGGCCAAACCTTTGGTTACTACGTTTGAGTAATCAAGGTTTATGTCATTTGTGTTCAGTTACGAACAAAACCAAAAAATTTTGAGAAATTAAAATGTAAAAAATCAATATTTTTGGTGTATGGAAAAATGCTAGACATACAATTTCCATTATGAAAAAATACTAATCATAGACCTTTCATGCAATTTTCTGTACGTATGGAACTGCATGGAAAGTGTATGACTAGCATTTTTCCATATATGGAAATTGTTTGACTAGTATTTTTGGTCATCCCGGGTACCGTTTTGTTCTCTCATCAAACGTAACGTAGTTAGGTCAGAAAAACTAAAAAGTTCAAACCATTTTTTTCAATCTGAAACAAAATTTTGTTTTTTGTATTTTTGAATCACCATTGAGATTGTTTTAATATGATAGCTCAATTTACCGCCTGTTATTTGATAAGGGTTTTCTTCGACGTAGTCATGATCGGTTGAAAAAGCTACCCTCTGCCACAGGACTTTTGCCTTTTTTAAGTGTTTTCTGAAAAATGCGCCAACACTGAAACTTACTCAATGTTTTTGAAAACAAAATACCTTGCATAATAAAAATAATTTTTAGACTTTTTCAATCGAAAGCTCAACTGACGCAAAATGATAACCGGCAAAAAGTGTTGTTGAATTCAAAGCATAAATTCCATCTAATTGTTATGAAAAATGGTAGAATTTTAATCAGAAACTTCTCGTATGACAGACTAAGTTTTTTTTCAAATAACAAATTTAGAATAGAAAGAGGAATGATTAACTCACTGATAAGTGTGACGATTTGTTTCCGTTATCTGTTGTCTGATGACTTAATTTGTCTTCATAAACACCAATCAATCTTTTTTCCACGTTTACTTTTCGCAATTTTGGAATATTGAGTTTGACGTGAGTATGGTCCGGAAGGTGATGCTTTGATTGATGTGTTTTGATTGCTAAAATTGGTGGATTCTGATCAAACAAGTCATCACTTTCACTCTGAAGGTGTCTTAAAGCTGGGTTGAAGGAACTTTCCTCTTTTTTGATAGTGGTTAATTCCACATCCAAAGGGATTGAATTCTTTTCCTTTTCAAGCGACGCGTGTGGTACAATTCTACAGCTCTCGCTGGAGCTTAAAACTGTAATGGGGCTATTTTCTCCGGCCTCTGCTGGTTTATAGCTGTGAGATGTAATTGAATTTGCGCCCCGGTAAATTTTCTTTTCATCAAAAGCGACGTCTGGGCTAATTTGCAGCAGCGGGGATCTCAAGGAAGGGCTTACTTCATCTGAAAAATTATCCACTTTTAGAAACAAACTCCATCAAAAGTAGTCCAGCCCATGTGGAGCACTTTTTAGAAGTAAACAATATATTTTTTATTTATACCAAAGTTTGTCAAAGTAACAGTGCACTTTAGGTTAAAAATAAATACTATTGAATAATAAATGACTTTGCCCAGTTTTTGACGAAAAGATTGAGGGAATCAATAAATTCACAAACAAATTGACACATATGAACTTTTAATGCAAACAAACTACCAAAAATAGTTCTGGTAAAAAATAAAGTGGTTGACTTTAAATAATCTTACCAAGTAGTTTGCAGTGGGCAGAAAAGTCCTTGAAATCCGAGGAAACTATTGATTTACCAATTTCTGATAAATCTTTGCGCAGGCTCTCAGACTTAATATGCTCCTGTGGGCTTTGATTTAAATCCCCCTCCTTCTTTTGAAAGGAGCCCCGGTCAAATTCTATGCTATTCAAATCTGGTCCCAATTCTGACTTTTCCTTCAAGAATGCAGCTGATTTTTCCAATTCACTGCAACGTTTTTCACCGCAGCCATGAATTTGTTCACGCGTGTTTTCGGTATTTTTCACCTCCAGGTCGCAATTTTGTTCACATTTTTCCGCTGTGTTGCTTTCAAACTGATCACGTTGAATACCTTCACTGATTGGTAAGTTAGGTGAAAGTGAAGTTTTCACGCTGTCATGTCTATTATGGTTGCTATCTTCGCGTTGCAAAAGAGGCTCCAAGCATCTTGCCGCAGCCAAGCTGAAATTTAGAGAAAAAATGCAGCTTAAAGAATGCCAATAAATCCCGAGGGATAACAGAAACAAAAAGAGGAAAAACGGCCACTTTGTTTAATGTAATTTGTATGATAAACGAAACGTGCGTGATTGCAACATAAAGTTGACGATTTCTCTCTACCGAAAAGTAATTTTCAAAACCCGATTGGACGAATAAAAACAAAATTAGTATTTAAAAACAAGGATATTTTGTTTTATTTTTAGTTTTCAGGTTTTATGGCATTAAAAAAGAGTGCATTTAACCAGGGGCGGATCAAAGATTTACCCGAAGGGGGCGGATTTTAAAAACAAAGTTCGAACTTTTTTAGGCCGACCAAATTGATTTTCTGAGCTCTCCCAAATCACTATAAAGACGCTATTTTGACAAAATTTCCAAAAAAAGCGTTTTGAAGCACTTTCTAGAAAATGTCCAAAACACAAAAATCTCGTTTTTTTCGGCGCGCGCTCTCCCTCAAAATTAGAATATTTTGGCGCCGAAGACGCTTTTGGAGAAATTTTAGTCAGCCAAAAATGAATATCTCAAAATAGTACAAACGGAGGACCATTTGGGTCGGCAGGGGGTCCAATTCCTGAGGGGGGGAGGGCTGTGCGTCAGACCCTCCTCCTCCTTCCCCCTAATTCCGCCCCTGCTTTTAACTACAAACTATTTCTGTGAATTTTCATAACAGATTTGGAATCGAGTCAAGGAAAAGAAGACAAAAGTTTTTCCGCTCGAATCCATTAATCAATGAGCAGATTGCTCAGAAGTTTTTTAAGACCCTTAATGCATAGATAAATTTGAAATTATAATAAGTTTGAGCCCTTTTAAAGTGATTAAAGCAAGAAGAAGATTCTCAACAAGATTCTCTGCATTTATTCGATCATTTTTTGATAAAACATAATCCCATTCCAAAGTCCGTCCAGGTTTTTATGTTAATACTTCAGAAAAGTACTAATTTAAAAGTTATCAAACATAGCCAATCGAAGATTGGAAAAGAGCAATGAACGCATTTAATCATAAAAAAAACACTGGCTTTCTGAAAAAAAATCTCTCAAAGAAAAAAAAATAGATGCCTTTCAAGCTCTTTGAATTTCTATAACAATTTATGATTGGCCCTTTTGAGAAACTGGATCAATAGGTAAAGTTTTATTCCGCTGAGAAATCTTTAAAATAAAATCCGCTTTCGAAACTAGAAATCGTTCACGTTTTTTCGCGCAATTTCCGCCTTCGAATTTGGAGAGTGCTATTTAGGTCACTTTCAGCAGATGAATTTCAATTGAACTCAAAAAGTGCATTATATCTAAGCGCATCAACATTTAAATTCAAGTTTTTAAATCCTCGATTCAAAATTGTAAATTTTTTTGACGTTCGTTGGAAAAAAAAACCGGTATCATACTCAATTCCTGAGCTATAGCGGCGAGGGTCTGAAAGAACGACGTCACCCATTGCATTTAATTCAACAAGGACAGCACGTCTCACAAAAATGGATATTGACCTGCAATCAGAAGCACATATAATTGATTAATTAGCGACCAAGAAACTTAATTTTTGATGATAACTGGGATTATTTAGTTGTAGGAGGAAGCATAAAAGAGAGCCATTTGGGTAGCCTAAAAGACCATTTGTTTTTTCTTTCAAGATAGCATTCCTACGATGTCAACTCGACCAACAAGCGATTAAAAAAAAATGATGCTTAAGCGTTATTTATAGTTCGATTTTTCTCTGAAGAAGGGTTACTTTCCTGTAGTTTTAAACATAGAAAAAATTTGCTGCTGTCTTTTCGTGTGCAAAACGATGTGAACTTTAAAATTCACAAAATAAACCATCAGTTTGAATGCATATGCGTTTCAAAAAGAATAAAATTTTCAGGGTTGATATTACTATATTTTACAAACTCCCCGCAGAATCACATTGAATTTTTTTAAAACCACGAGGAGCATCTCTTTCATACGAATGAACCTGAATCTGATTTCCTAAACTGATGGGGTTTCAATATCGGCACTTTAGAGTCCAAGCAAGCTTCAAGATCAAAATTGACCCTTTAAACAGCTTCTGCGCAAATTTTGTGAACACTGACCCGAACACATATTTTCCATTCTAAAATTTTCGCCTGAGTGATTGCAAGCTTGAATAAAAATCACATGCTACACTCAACTATTTCAGATCACTTTTTTTTACATCAAGTTGTGATTAGTTTAATTTTCTTGAAACTCCGGAGAACAACTTTTGAAATCTTTAAAAACTTTCACGCAAAAACAACAAATTAAGTTTTTTATTCTTAAATTTAAATTGTCCGCACTTCATACTTTTGAAAAAAATTGATAAAACTTTGTGTTTTCTAGTAGAAGCTCCTACTCGATTTCTGGTTAGTTTTTGTGCCCTTGGATAATTTGTCAAAAAAGCAACCTTGTGTTACGCATGCCAAAAAAATGTTCGAAAAAGCTTTCATTAAGTTCTTCAGATAATGGGTCCGAGTTTCTACTGAAGCGAATGAATTAGATCATTTAATTGCTTAATTGCTAATTAGATCATTTAAAGCAACATTGAATAACAGAAAAAAATCCGAAGAAAAAAATGGAAAAGGTTAGAACTCCGAGATACTGTTCCGAGTTTTTAGTATATTTTGAAGAAAAACTTTACAAAACATCAAAGTTTTTGATGCTGATGGTGTTTTGAATCAATACTTTGCTTTATTAGGTGGTAAATAGCAATATCCGTATTATGATCATGAAAAAATGACAAAATAAAGACTAAAGGAACATTTGAATTTTCGAAATTTACTGAACAAAAAAAAGCCTCAAAAAAGCATTCAGCGTTTTGTTCAAATTTAGAACAAAAAAAACTTACTTACAATTAATGACGTTGAGCAGGAAAAGTCATCAAAAGACAAGCCGTGATAAATCAAATTAGAAAGTGAGTTTTTTATGTTTTTTTACTAACACAAATTTCAAAAAAAATCACAAGCTGATAAGGTGTTCTCTTAACGGTCATTGATAGTTGATGCTTTCTTGAGCTTTTTGATCTTTCTTCAAATACCGAAGAAATTAAAAGTAATATTATTTTTCGGATGTTTTGTTTGAGGCAGTTGTTAGTTATATAAAAAAAAACAAGTTTTGCGGCCCAAAAAGCAGATAAGCAGTCCCTCATTTCAAATGTAAAACATTGCTAATCTCAAACTTGAAAGCTAAGAAAACCTTAAAAATAAAAATATGTGACTTTGGCATTAGCTGTACTGATTCATGTGAGTTTTTTTTTCAATTTGTGTCACTTCAGACCTGGTGTCTAGAATAAGAAGATTTCATTGAACATCTGTAATAATATTATTAAAACAGTACCGCAAGTTACTTCGTTGAATCAAAAAAAGTTTCAAAGAAGAAAAAAGCTGAAAAAGCAAAATAAATCACGTCTTGGCAATTTTTTTCAAAATTCCCAAAAAGGCGCTGAATCAATTCGAAAATTAAATAAAAAGGGTTAAAAGTCATTTTTCATGGCAAAATTTTTTAAAGACTACTATAATTGACTAAATATAAACCATCTATAAGTCTTTCAATGGTAGGAACAACAAAGATACTCGTATAAAAACACAAACCTGATTGATCGAACTAAACTTTATGTTGGCCTATGTAGTTTTTTCTCCGCAGTTTTTTCAAAATTTGAAAAAAGAAAGAAATTCTGATGATTTTTTTAAGCTTTCAACCATCGCATTTCAGGTTACAACGAATCGTTTGAAGCACCTTTTGCATCCATTAAGCGTGCTTCATTTCAAACTTGAATGATTTCTGAGCTGGGTAATTTAGCAGCACTTAACACACGTATGGAAAAACGAGAAAAATCTTGAGCGCTTTAATCTTAAATTTTTCAAATTCCCAGCCTATTCACTCCTAAAAGCTCACCTTTTAAATAGTATTTTAATTATGAGCTTGAGCTAATTATTTTCAGAAAAAACAATTTAAATGCAAACCTGTAAAAAAAATTGAGGTAGTCCAGGCTTATTTTTTAACGCAATTAATTGTTTTTTTTTGTACAGCTACACTTAGAGCTTTTCTTTTTCAACGTTAACTTAAACTTAATTCTGTTTATAAAAGCGTTTTTTTAACCAGTGAATTTTTCAAGGTAGAAGGTTTGTATTCTTGAAAATAATATAAAATTTTTTGTATCGTTTGTGTGAACCTGAAAACAACCAAAAACATGGCCAAACAACAAATGCAATTGAAGTGTGCAATTTTGTCGGACTTAACCTCTGAGATTTTGGGTTTTTGTTGAAAAAGTGTTGATGCTTTTCAGAAAAAAAACAAAGTTTTAAAAACTCAAAATATTTTTTAAAACTTTTTCTTTTAGAAAACTGCTATTGACATATGAAAAACTGCCAATTCTATAAATAGAATGTATTAAAGAAGAGGTTTCATAGAGTTTTCATAACTTTTTCTGTTTGCACGAAATTGAAGAAAATTGTAAAATCAAAAACTTTTCTTGTTTGAAAATTGTATGACTAGAAGTCAGATTAGAAGTCGAATGTTGAATCTTTTCGAGTAAAAAGTCCGGCTAAAATTATAGCAAAAAACTAGAGCTTTGTCAGAAGAAGAAAAAGAACGATTCTGTCATTTTTTAATGGGTCAGAGGAATTAGGTCAAATGCCATATAGAGCTGTATCTTAGATAAGAAAAAATGCAGTTTCCGAAAAAAAATAAACTGTGTACCTTTTCTCTGCTAATTCTTTGTGTTTAAATGCGGATCTCTCGTCGGGGTCAAATCTCGACTTCTCGAAGGAATCCGAAATGTCAATTGCCGACTCGCGTTTGAAGAAATCTCGTCTCGGCGATCGAACTCTGTTTGTTTTATTTTCTTGCTCTCCCTCGCCGCTTTCCTCCTTCTGATTTTTCACAATTCGTGATCTCTTAGTTCCAATTATCGAATCATCAATTCGAAGTTCATTCGAGGGTACAGTTTTGTTCACGTATATCTTACTACTCGTGCTTCCATCCGAAGGGCTTATCGCGCCGTTTCCGCCCGCGTAGAAACGGATTCGTGGCTTCAAAGACAGCTCAGAGACACTTTTCAAAGTCTTTTGAAGCTGTTCTGTTGAATTCATAATTGATGTCTTCGATCGTATAGCACTGGTGCTAGATGACAAAACGCAGTTTGCGAGACCGTCTAAGATGGTGTCCAAGTCCTCTTCGTGGCAAACAGAAGCCGACAAGCCTAGTTTTTGTTTGTTGTTGGACCAAATATCTAAATGATTGCATTGAAAAAATAAGGCGAGAGCTGATTATAAAAAAGAATTTTTTAATGAAATCAAAAAGGTAAATTTAAATATCAAGTTTTCATCAAACTGAGAAATTATCATTTTTTTAACCGAAAATGCGTTTTTTGGCACGGTTTTTTCCTTCAAAATTGTTTTATTTCGTTTTGCTACGATATCTTGGAACTGTTAAAATTATATATTTTTTGCAGAGGCGCTGGTTACGAAATACTACGCCGTTAATACCAAAAGGTCTCCCTTTGGAATTACTCGAAGGCGGCTTTGAAACGGGCATTATTTAGTTTTTTTTTTTCAAGATCAGATATCCATATTTCATATATACAGTTCTATTAAGTTTCAGATGAGCTTCCCCAATGTTGAAAGTTTGTACATTGAAATTAAATAAATATTTCGGCCTACCTCGAACTGTTCCCTTGACGTCGTAATTTGTTCTGAAAAGTCGTTGTTCCGATTGTTCCGATTGTTCCGATTGTTCCGAGCGTCCGTTGTCTAAATTGATCTCTTTACGATGGCGCCAAGACAATTCACAGAATCCGGGAGGCAACGATTTGCGTTTCCCATTAGTGTCTGAACAAAACTAAAGTAGGGTGAAATAATTGTGAAATTTTTAAATGACCGATCCAAAACAAACGCGAGGAAAAAATGTGAAATCTAAGAGCTTCTAATTGCGCGGTTGATTAATCAAAGTAAAAATGAATACTTCTAAAAGGAAAAGCGTCTCTCTATCTAATTTTTTTCATTTTTATTTTATTTTGAAGGGTTGTTGGAATGAATAAGAATATTTTCAATTTAGGTTGGCAAAAATCAGACCCAAAACATAATTTTGCAAAAAAAAACATAAAAAATACAGGAAGTTGTTAAAGAGAAAATTTTCCGACTGTGCGAGCACAAAGAGATTAATAAAACGGACGTTTTCCTAATTTACCGGCTTTGCTGACGCCTTATGACAGACTACAAAAGGAAATGATAATTACAATTTTACTTCAACAAAGCCTGTTTATGCAAAACCTGAAGCTCCTAAAACGGTATTAAGAAGATGTTAATGGAAGTATATGCTCCTCAAAACGCTCCTAAATAGTCTTGAAACAAAGTGTTTCTTTTTGTAGAAAAATTTCAAATCAATGCGTCATAAAATCATTCAGGCAGAAATTTTTTCTGTCTAAAATTCATTCAAAAAAAAGCAATTCCGACAGGTAATTAATAAAATGCTTTTCAGACCAAAAGCTAAGTGTGCTTTGTTTTTTTTGCAAAAAAACTTGAGTTAGAAATTCAAAAAACTCACCGTTAAGATTAGCGACGTGCGTCATTGCATCTGAAAATTTTGCCAAATCTATTTTTGCATCCTAGAAAGTGACTGCCATCCGTTGATTCGACGTGAACAATTTGGAAGCTTTTAAACCGCTGAATGCACTCTTTGTCTTATGAATATTTATGTCAATTACTGTAAAAATGTGACAGCACTGCTGTTCACTGAAGTTGACAACTTATGCCAGGAATTGTTTTAAAGTGTTTTTTGAAAAAAAAAATCCGCTGCTATTTTTTTTTGTCGTAGATGCTGAATTTGTCAAACGCCATAAAAAAGCACAGTGAAACTCAAAAAGTAAATTAACTTAAGTTTATTACGGCTAATCCAATTAGTTTTGAAGCAGAAGAGCCCAAAACGAACCCAAATGTTGCCAAATTAAAGATGATGAATTTCTAAAAAGTCTCGATTTTTAGTTGATTTGATTACCTTTGCAGGTTGCATTGCAATTAGAAGCATTGTAAAGTTTGTTGTTGGTTTGATCACTTTTGCAAGTTGAATTGCAAATTTCGATATGTCTTTGATGCTCTTTCAGTTCAGGGCTTAGGTATAAAAACTATTTTAAAATAAGATAAAAAAACTTTTAAGTTAAAAAAACTTTGAAAATCAAAAACTGAATTAAAAATATTTGGAGCACAAGAAACGATTTTAAACCAAAATGATTATTTTTTACTTTTCCATTTTTGTTTTGTTTAGCTTTTATATTGATTTTTGTCAAAAACATTGTTTTGTGACACAGTTGATATCAAAATAGAAAAGTTTGACGCATAGCTTGGAACGGACCAATGTACCAAAAATAGGGATGGAATAACTAGCTGCTAACACAGTTTTTTCCCATTTTTTTGTTTTTTTTAATGAAAAAAAGAACTACTCAGACAGACATTTTAAGCAAATGGCTGTCCTGGAATACTCAATTTTTGCTCTGACAATAGCGTTCCGGTTTTTAGTTGAGCTGTAGTCTGAAAAAACTTGGCGGTCGTCATTAAATCCCTAATTCAAAAAAAATTGACCGAAAATCAAATTTTCACATTTTAGCACAAAAAATCTACTAGAAACTTGTTTTTTTTAAATATTTTTGAAAATTCATACATAAAAATTCCCGCCATTAAAAAATTAGTTTTTAAATAGTGAACTATTTTGAACAAATGTCCACTAAAAATTAACAGAAAAAGAACGGCGATCTTTTGATGGATTAATTGTTGCACCATGTACTCTTATTAACTATGCAAATTTTTGTTTCTAGTTTTTTTTGCGTTTACCTAAAACCAGTTTTGTTGAAAAATTCCACAATATTTTCAATAAGTTTTTTGAACAGCTTTGAAGGGGTCTTTTTTGGAACACTGTTTATTGGAACAATTTGAGAAAAAGAGACATTGTAAAACCATTGGAGGAAACCGTACTTTTGAGAAATCATCACAAAACTAAAAAATGGAACAATAAATCCTTAGCACTTCAAAAACGCGTGCATCAAAATGGAACTCTGGAAACTTTAATGTTGAATATCCTGTCTGAAACTGCATTTTAAACAAAGAAAATATTTCTTTTTTTTTTTTCAAAATCAAAATAAAAAAATAAAAACTGTACAAATTTGTTTATACCTCACATTGCAAGCAAGTGGAGATTACATGTTTCCGACTCAAATCTCTGCTTTATGGTTTTTTTCAAAGTTTTTTAACGGAACTAATCACTGTTAAACTTTTGGTTTTCATCAAACGCCTATCAAATTATTTATGATTCAACCAAAATTTTTAAGATATTTTCAAGAAGTAATAGGATGTGATATTAATTTATAAAAAAGTTTAATAGAATTTTTCTGTATTAGCTTGTTGCTGTTAACGTGGATCGCAAAGCCTCTGAGATCAAATTGACCTAATTTCATTCAAATTTCTTTCGTCTTTAGAATACGTCACGTTTGAACTTTTTGAAATTACTGAACCATTTCTGCGGTTACATATCAGTATTTAGACAACTGTGTATTCAGACTGGTCAGTATTTAGACAAATATTGTTTCAACCAATCAGAATCGAGACAAAGAAGAAATTAATAAATAATTATTTTTTATTTTGGATTATTTATGTCTTTTCTCGATTCTGATTGGTTCATACAGTATTTGTCGAAATACTGACGAGTATGAATACGCGGCTGTCTAAATACTGGCTGCACTCCCATTTCTACTCTTCAGACATCTTTTTTTTTCATGGCCAGAAATTGCATTATGAGGGAGCGTTTAATATGTTAATATGATCTCCATTTAGCAACAAATTTTGAAAAAAAAAATCGGATATCGAAGGCAAACAGCGAAAAATGTAGAAAACGCAAAACGCGACCACTGTTTTAGCAAAGCACACTTTGAAGTGTTAAAGCAAATTGGTTAGAAAACCTTTATCCTGTTTTCTTTTCTTCTTTTCATACTTTTCCCTTGTTTGTAAACCTTTTTTTATTTTTTTGCACTTTTTTCAACATTTATTTTTCCATTTAAGTATCTCTTCCGCATGTATCTCCTCAAAAATTTGGCCTCGAAGCCGTTTTTAAAAAATCGAAACGCTCTAAAAAAATCAGACAAATTTATTTTTGGGCAACGAGCGCCCACTGATCATTATTGATTATATTGTCTTTTATAATCAGTATCTATAGAATTACAAAATAATTGATTATAACCAACAATCAGTCGCCAAACCTCTCCAGCTCATATTCAAGTCAGACTTACCCCAACCCCCACTCAACACATGAGGAGTATAAATTAGTGGGGAGAGGGGTTGGGGTGGTGGAGTGAGGGGGGGTTGGGGAGGGGTGGGAGTTAGGGTAGGTGGGGGTGTTGTGGAAGGGAGTGGGGCTTTTGTGGCCACGTGCTTGTATTTGACAACCAAATTTATTCTACAAAGTTTTGTAAAATTATGCAATGTACATGCTCAGTAGAAAATTTGGTAAGGTTAGTTTTTTGTAGAATCAGATTATTATAAAAAGTCTTATAGGGTAAGAATTTCACTTCGGCTGCAGAAGTCAAATATGGATTACAGGTCAAACATGTCATTCTGATCTGAATTGTTTTGTAGGGTTATTTAGAGAGTGAATATTTATCTAAAGAAAAAAAACATACTGAGAGATTTGGCAAATCATTTGAAACGTATGACAAAACATATAAAATTAACATGATATAATTCAATGAAAAAAAAATTTCTACACACCTGCAAAGAATCTAGAAGGTGCTGCTTGGTGGCTTCTTTGTTGTCCTTTTCCCAAACTTTTCAAGCACAGTGTGCTCTCATTTAGCGCCAGTTCTTCAAAGCTGACAACAATCTGATTTCCAATTCCGTTGTTATTGCTGTCAAACTCAGCTATATCCTCAAACTCTAGCTCAAGGTCGCTGAAATTCGAACCTTTGTGCTTGAAGTGTCGTCTCTCGTTTCGGCTAACTTCACCTCCATTGTCAGAAAAATATTGATTATAGCTCTGATAGGCGGACTTTCGGCCAACTGCACCATTGTAAGCGCCACTTTGGTTATGTTTCATTCCAGAATGTTCTGGACTGTTCTTGAGTTGAGAGTTAAGAGATGGAAACTTGGAGAATTGTTGGTCCAGGTTTACGAAGACGCCCAAGGAGTGTCGGTTTTTGCTGTCGAGGTTGTAGGGAGCCGAATTCTGTGTACACGGCGAAGTGTTTGTCGTTCCTAGGAGAAAAAAAATGTTTGGTGTTATTGCAATTTTAATGCTTTCCAAAACCCATTTTAGAAGAGAAAAGTTTTTCGGATCTACTGTACAATTCCACCCCCCCCCCTCCAAGAAGGGGGTGGGGTATGTGTAAAGTAGATTAAATTAGTCAAATTTTCGACCAACCAGAACGCAGCAAAACTCGACTTATAAAAAGACGGCTTTAGTGTTAATTTACTGCATTTATTTGGAGGTGTGGTAATTCTCGTATAGATACCATAGGGGTAGCAATTGTTAAGTTGACCCAATTTTTTTTGTGGTGGGATGATTTTATCTTAATATACTTTCGCTTAGAGTCATATCCTATGAAAGAAAGCCGCTGAAGCTCTGTTATGAAAATGAAATGGAGTTTGTTTTTTTCACGCCATTTAAAAATGGCTTAGAACCTGGCAATTTAGAATATTAGATATTGAAATTTAGTTTATATTAAAATTATACTTAAGTTTTAAGAATCAAAGCATAGAGAATTGATTTGAGGGAGTACTCGCTTTTTCGTGCAGCCATTTTGGAACTTCTGTAATTCTTTGAATAGTTTTTTCTGTGGTTCAATCCCTCGAGGGTGTTGTTCAATCTTGTCTCGTAATCCGCATCCTTTTCAAAGAAGTCTTCAGAATCGGATTCTCTCTCTGATTTGTCGTATTTAGTTGACAGTGATGTTTTTTGAGATCTGAATCGGTTGCTGTATCTGTCTGACGAAGTGGTGATGAATGAGCTAAAATGAGGATTAATTAGACTTGATTCTTGACCTTAAGTGCAAGTATTGAGAAAAAAACTTCATTTTTTACTCTTCAATTAGTCCAACATAAGTTAGTAAATGCTACATCTTTGAATCTATAGTTAGACTGTTTGAATATAACACTAAAATATGAAATAAAAATATTAACGGGAGTTGAAATACTATAACAATATGGCTGCTTAATTGCGGAATTAAAACTGAAAAATTTTGCATTTAATTAGATGATCCGGAAATCACAGTTATGGGTTTTTTCCCCAAGTGATTCCCTGATTATATAAGGAGGAAACTTCAATACAGGAGCAATTGAACACTGCTGGTAAATATAATGTAGCCCATGTAAGTTAAATATAAACAAGCCTTAGGCAAAGAATTAGTCAATTTACACCTGACTTGGCTGGAAAGTTAAATACGAAGCTGAAAAAAAAAGAATAATGTAGACATTTATTTCTGCAATTTGATTCCTTGTTTTATTGAATCATAAGAAACATGAATAGCCGGTTGCTGTGTATTTAGCAAAAAAATGTTTCGCCGACAACTTTTGTTTGAACATCCAACCCAAAATGGTTTTTAAAAGAAACTTGAAATTATCTCTCTACATTGGATTGATATTATCAACTATTGAAAATAAAATTGTGGGGGCACAAAAGAAGCAGTGTTGTCCGAAATAGTAGCTAAGTTTACGCTGGTAACATTCTTGTATTGTGGATTCCGCGACAAAACTAGTACGTCAACAAGTCTTACGCTAAAACTATTTTCGTGTGTAAACTGTAGAAATTTGGTAATTTGATTCCACATAAATTTTTGAAAGGGTTTTAAGGCTGATCTCCCGGTTACGGGGTCCGACACGCAAGAACGGTGCGGATATCTAGAACACAGCCCATCTTCGTAAAGCGCAGCGTTTTTAAATCTTGTCTATTTGTCACTCTTCGTTTGAATTTAGTGTTAAGCCAAAAACTCGATATTTTTGTGTTTCCGAACGTCTAAAATCTCTATCTAATCTCATTATTTTGTCTCACTTTTTTTAATTGACAAGAAAAATTGAAGATAAAAAATGTAACATGAGAGCTTGTAGATCATGATATGGTAAAATCTGGGTGGAAGCTTTTAGTTTCTTTTTGTTTTTTCTAAAAATTGTAAGATACTTTTTTCTCAAAAATCATTTGTATATTCAATTTTAGTAATTTGCAATTTTTTCTTCAGTTTTTTTTGAAAAATGGTATTGGTGTCTTTTTTGCATCCCCTTTGTATTGAATTATCCGATGATGATCGTCGAAAATACAAATTTATCCATTTGCAATCGAAACAAAAATAGCCGGTTGCGATGCCTATTGCACCAAATAATTTATCGAAGAAAATCCAAAATAAAAATTCATACCTTTAATGGAAAAATAAGGTAAATTTTAAACAGAATTTGACATTGAACTTAATAGTTTTTTTCCTGTTTAGAAAGTGCAATAGGATTAGGTTAAAATGCAAGAAATGAAATAGAAAAAAAAAACTTCTTAAAACTTTTAAAAAACTCAGTTAATCAAATTACGTATAATTTAGTTTGAAAAACAAAAAAACCCATTTTTTCCCAAATATTAGACAGCTTTTTTCGAGTTTTTCATAATCCCGAAAAAATAGCAGGGCTTCAAACTGACACAACGCTTGAACCCTGCTAGGTTTCTTTGAAGTGGCTAAAGTTTTTGAGAAAAAAAAAACAGACCCTATGCCATAGATCTTCAGTATATTTTTTAGTGTGAGCGTGATAACCAATTCCATGAGTATTGTGCCACTAATAAAAACTGATAAACAACCATGAAAATATTCGACGCTTCTTTCCTACTATGACTTTTTCTCACCGCTTTTTAAAAAGTTTCACGTTGAAGAAGTTTGATTGTTTGATTGACATGGAAGCATTTTAATGCTATCAAAATACTTTTAGAGCTTCCCGGATTGTTAAATTTGAGATTGAAATCGATTTGAATCGAATTTTTTACAGTTATTATACTGTATGAAAATCAATTTTTAACGAATTAAATGGATTTTATGATAGAAAAAATAATCAATTTTTTGTTTGAAAAAAAAAACGATTTCAATCAATTCAGATTGAGTGTTGCTTTTCCAAGGCAGTGAAATTCATCAAAATCTGATCAAAATATTTTTAATATAATAAAACTGTTCTTTTTGTTTTGAAACTTGAGCAAAAATTTGTGCTCAAGAAAAATCTCCATCGCAGCTACAAAGAGCAATAGGAGACTTTTTTACCACAAATTTATGAAATGAAGACAATGCAAGATTTTATGCAATGTTTTGCAAATCTAAGGGTTCCCAGGGTATGAAAAAAAAATATCAAATTTCTGCAAATTTCTTTTTCTTCACCAACTTTCTAGGCGCAAATTTGTTAGGCAAATGACAAAAAATTGAAAATTTCAATTCAAAACAATTCTTTTTTGGTGCAGAAAACGTATAGATTAGTTTTAGTCAGTGTTTTTTTAAGTCAATTATCAACACGAAGGTCAGCTGAAAAGTCTTCCTTTATAAACTTATATTCAATTTATACAATTTAGATGAATAGTAACTATGTGATTAGCATTTTTACTATACAATATTTCCTAATTCAATGATATAACACCAAATTTTTTTTCCAAAACAACAGACAAGTATATTTAATATTAAAACTAAGCCAAACGACAGTTGATAAAGAATAATGAACACAGGAAACGGGAAAAGCTGACTTGTTTTTTTTTTAAATAAACTTTTCAAAACTTCGTTACAAAACTTGATAAAAAATATCAGGCTTTAAAACTTTTTGAATTTTATGAAAACTTTACGATGAACATTTTTCGATGCAAAAACAATACAAACATAATTTGAAAAAACTGGATCAATAGGTGAACTTTAAAATTCCGCTCGGAAATCTGACCACTAAAATCCACTTTCGAAATTAGAAATTCGTCACGGTTTTTGTGACCTTTACACTTTTGCTGTTTGATAGTGGAATTTGCCTTCTTTTGAACAATGACGTTAAAATAATTTTGAAAAAAAAAATAAAATCAAATTGCAAAAAATAAAATTGACCTCGAGCAAAATTTAGGATTTTTTCCTTAAAAAAAAAGAAATTCACCAAGAATCAATTAAGTGTCCTCGCTATGTTCATTACTCCTAATTACCCTAATTTTGAAAAAAAAAATTCGAACTTTGTATGACTAGCTTTTATACTACTTATATTTGTAATTGTTCAATTTAATTTTTCAGTCTATGGTCGTCAACCTGGGTTAATTGTTGTTTTTATCAAATTTGAAATTTCAACTGTTTCGCGACTCTCGAGATAAGTAGACTGCATAATCGAGCATGATTTCCTCTTATGCTTTTGTCCGTGATCATTATTAATGGAAACGAAGTCTTTGATTCATAATACTTATACTTCTTATTTCAGTACTCTTGGTTTTCTTAACTTGGTTTTTATCTTATGTTAGATTGAATTCAATGTTTGCCGTGGCTTTTAGCCGGTGGTTTCATTGCATCTTTCTCCCGCAGTTGCCAAAAATTGGAACCCTCGTCGTCGGAGTCGGCCTTGTTGGGATCAATCCTCACCTGTCGTCATTTTTAAAGGGGCTGGATTCGTAATGAAGTACAAAATTTACCAAAGAGGCCTTAACAATTACCAAAAGAAGACCATTTGGGTAGTAAGGGGGTCGAAACTCCCTTCTGGGTAGAAAAGCTTAATAATGACTAAACGTCTCTAGACAAAAAGCTAAAGAAAAAGTACAACGTGTTTTTGCCAAACTAACAAAAGATCGTCAGCGCAAAGACGCGGGCTACGCATTTACTCGATGAAAGGTATGAGACAAAAGTTCTGATAATTTTTACCAGGAACTGTAACCAACTTTAACACCCGCCCCGCAACTGGAAGCGGAAAAGTTTCTTCAAAATTTTTAATTAAAAAATCAGATCATCGTTTCAAAGATATTTTACCCAGCTCTATTTAAAATTTTTAGCTTGTTCACCAAAAAATTGGACAAAAAACGCCAGAATCCATTTTTTGTAGCAGCGTAATTGAATGTACTTTGCTTTTTCGAGTCAAACAAATCTGGCGCTAAAATTCTGACTGATCCCAACTTTGTTCCTGGGGTCGTAATGAGTCTCCCACGTGATCATCTGTCCTTGTGAGTCACGTGACGAGGGCGGCAGGAAACTGTCGTCGTCGTTTACTGGGACTTGAACTCGGTTCGCCGCATTCGGATTGTTCGGATCTTTCACGTGGACTACTTTAAAGACGTTCAATTTTCACTCTTATATTTGCTTTCAAGTTCGATATAAAAAAAATTTTGCCCGCACTGAAGTTTCATGGATAATAATCGATTATATTGGATTTTCATTGTCAGTCTCCAAAAAAAAATATTTCGATTATAATCGATTGAAAATGGATTATAATGATACTATTTTTTAAGCAATAAAATCCCAATATAATAGATTATAATCAATTATAATCGATTGATTTCAATTTATTTTCAGAAAAATTTATCAACAATTTTAATCAATTAGCAATTAGAATGGATTAAAAATCCATTACGTTGTCTAATTTTGCCACTATAGTCGATTATATAGACAACATAATTCTACAAATATCCATTATAATTAATTTTTATCCGTGAAACTTCGGTGCGGGTGGTCTATTTTCCACTGCAACGCCCCAACTTTTCAACTCCAATTTTGAAAAATACTCAGGGTTTTAAAAATGCACTTAAAGAATCTTTGGCATTGAGAACAAACTACTTATTGTGAACAGATTTTCTCTTCATACTCTAAATTGTATTATCACGGTTTTAACTATAAGTATTCATGAAACAATTATTCAAAAAATCTTGAAACGTGAGGAGCGAATGTGGAAAAAAGAGCCGATTTTTATTGTTCACTTATTGTACTGCATTTAGCAGGATGATGTCAAACAAAAAACCTGATTATGATAAATCTGAGCAGAAAATTATGGA